AGTAAGAAGGAGCAATGGATCACCGCTTGCTTGACAAGAGGTATGTGCCACAACTAGAGAATTGCTACTAAGCATTCTATCCAAAAAATTCAACGTCCAGTGTGCGAAGATGTAACAAAGATTTTGGGAATGACAGCCGTGTCGAAGAAGTGTTAAACTTAGGATGTTGTTGTGAAACCAAAGTGCCTCAACGTTGTTAAATTATCGCTAGTGATGATGTTAAATCAACATTATCACTACTTGAATGTTTGGAAAGACTAGCGATGTCTTGTTTGATTTGTTGATGTTGTGACCGTGCATGTTTTGGAGAATCTAGAAATGGTAGTGTTGTTGTTGTAGGTAGCTCAACACCTAGAGTTGCAATGTGGCTAGTTGACAAAGTAAGCAAGGAGAAATAATGACTGTATGACTTCCAAGCTCATAACATTAATAACCTAATGCACAATTGTCAAAGCTCAGTAAGATACATTGAGCTGAGGGTGAGTCGAACTTTACTTGGCGAGAATGATGTTGGTGAACAAAGATTGTACCCCCAAAAACTCAAAGATGAAAGACATTTGACTTTATGTTGGAGATTAGCTTGGTGGATGTGACATCAATGTTTTTTTGGACTACAAACGTTGGGAATTTCACAAGCTGCAAGTACTCAAAGTCCAAAAATATTTTGATAGATTCTTGTCAAGCAAAAAACAACGTGTAAATGTCATGCACGAAGCGATTGCGTTGTTCAACAACGCCGTTTTGTTAAGGAGTATAAGAAACTTTCAATTTCAGTTTGATGTAATGATCAGTAATTATGCTTCAAACACTGGAGAATTAAATTCGCCGCCATTGTCGGTGCGCAACATAAGAATAGGCTTCTTGTATTGAGCTTCGACTTTGTGATGAGATTGCCTGAACTTGTCAAAGTCCCCGTCCTTGCGAAACACGAATGAATTCCAAAGAAATCGTTAGTAGTCATCAATAAAGTTAATAAAATGTCGTGCATCTCCTAACGATGGGGTGCAAATTGTGCCACAAAGATGTGAATTGATTAGTTCAAGTGGTGCAGACGCGCGACTGGTAGCTTGTTTTGGAATTTGTATTCTCGCTTGCTTTCCTCAAAAGTAGCTTACATATGGTATGTCGAAAGTAGGAAGGTTGGAAAATCCATGAACAGCATGTGTGGCAACCATTTGACGGAGACTGTCATTATTGAAATGATCAAATTTTTTATGCCAAATTTTGGTAATGCTCGGCATCTCTATTGTAATTGAGTTGACTTCCATATTCTTGATGGTGTCTTCGTGTAATCTATATAAGTCATGACAATCCTTCCGATGTGCATAAGCTATGAACTAACAAGTGAACATGTTGCGGATAAAGCAATCTTCACTTAGAATTCAAGGCTATGATTGCCATCTGCAATGAGTCCAACCGAAAGAAAGTTCTTGCGTATAGTTGAAGAATATAAAACTTGGGACACGGTTTGAACTTTACCGTTGGGAAATTGAACATGAATTGTTCCAACATCAAGAACGTTGCGATCGTGTTCACCAGCCTATGTAACTCCAGTGCAATGTTGGTGTTGTATTGTGGAAAACATGGATCGATTACCGGTAATATGATGAGTTGCATCAGATTCCAAGTGCCAATGTGAGACGGTGAACATTGCTTCTTCAAGTATGTTGAGTTCAATCGCAAGACTTTGGCTGATCACTGAGGAAGTTGACTATTCATGATCATTGATCTCGAGCAAGTAGGCTTCGACATTAGTGTTACTGTCAAGACTAACATACATCTAGTCAAGTTCTGTATCATCTTCAAGGAACTTCACATCGACTGCATGAACATGGCCACAATTGCAAAGACGTCACCGTTTTTCATCTAGACAATGCTTCATGTCGGAAAGTTGATTTATCAACGCTTTAATCCCGCATTCACAATCAAGTTGATCATTCTACATACAAAAATCGTAGACAATATTTGGTTGGTGTTGTAAAGTCTCAATATGTTTAAATCTTGGTTGATAGAAACTAGATCCACTTGGCTGCAATTGCTTAGAGCGATCTTGAGCTTTAATCCCGCATTCACAATCAAGTTGACCATTCTACATACAAAAATCGTAGACAATATTTGGTTGGTGTTGTAAAGTCTCAAGATGTTTAAATCTTGGTTGATAGAAACTAGATCCACTTGGCTGCAATTGCTTAGAGCGATCTTGAGTTCTAGATGTGAAGCTAGAGTGATAGTTACGTGTTGAAAAACTACCTATAACGATGTTATTGCTTGAGTAATCCGTGAAGCTAGCATGAATGTTTGGTCCATTACAAATCGAGACTTGACGAGTACGATCTCTAAAAACTGCAAGAGCCTTGTTACTCTTGTCTGCAGTGACTAGACCTATTGTAATTTCTTTGGTAAGAAATATGCACTCCATCTTATTAAACAATATTAATATTGTATTTTCCATCAACATGCAACATACAATATCGTTGTCTTTTGGAATGTTTTCTTAGCGTGTAATAAACAACAACCTTGTTAGGTACAACTACATTAACTTCTTCTATGAGATGAGCAACATTTTTTATCTCAGTAAGATGAATATTCATTGTGATTGTTTTATTTTTTCTCAAGGCAAAAAACTTATCGACCATATGAATCTTACAAGAATCACTCTGCTACTCGCATCTACGCTTTAGATTTGACCAACAAGCATAAGGTTCAGTATACATTTTCAAGATTTTCATCCGTGAATTTTATGCATTGTTGATCAATATGGCCATTACTCTAGAACAAGCTACTCTCTTGTGTAAACTAGCAAGAACATAGGGTGGTAACATGCAATAGTCAAAGAGGCCAGAACTCTTGAGTGCATGTTGAATTTTGAAGTACCAGATACCATAGTTGCTTGTTTATGTGAAGTAATATGCCTCAGAAATACTTTGATAATTCTTGACTGAGATCCAGCAGTATCACCAATTCTTTTGATCGGTGGAGAGTTATAAATCGGTGCAGTTTGCGGCATAATATCATCGCCTATTCTGCCCACATTGCTAATAGCATCTTCACTCAAGACATAAAATGATGGGAGGCGAGTGAAAATTAACTTCAAAAGAATGATCGACAATAAGTGCTGTTGCAAGATACAAAATGGAAATCTCGCGGCTCTAATCATTGACTAGGAAAGAGTACAGTACTAGTTCAATCGCTCTGATACCATGTTGAACAAGGAAGAAGTTAAAACTGTTGTTTACCTCCTCCTTTGAATAGCTGTGTCCTGAATACAAAGTGGGATCATTACTCTCATTATTTCATTAGTATGTCGATAGGATGATCCTCGCCAACCGAATCCCGAAAGAAGGTCGAGAGAATTGATACAATAAATCTTACAGACATTGCGCCACTGGTAAAAACTGATATGTGAACTAGACGGCATCAGTAAAAGAATTGGTCAAAGGGTTGTAAGTCACAACCCTTTGACCAAGGTTTCCTTTTAGGGTTGGTTTAAGAATATTCCATCACCTGGTAAACTCAGAATGTGAATTTCTTGAGTTCGGAAAGAGCGGAAGAGACTCTGAGACCACAATGCCGGCAGAGAAGAAACCTTCCATAATATGTATAGGCTGAACTGCATTAGGCCAAGAAGATTACAAAATGATGGTTCCTGCTAATGGACTTGGAAGAAGGAAACTCGAAGCACCCAGTGTCACCAATTCACTAGTACGAGGGAGAATTGAACCTATTCTGATGTCTATATTATTCTATGTCTATATTATATTAATATGAGTTCTTGTGGCGATTTGATTAGCACTGAAAGGAGATGTCTAAAGCCATGGACCGGGAATGTCCACGAGGTTTTCAGATCTAGCGATTGAAGTAGATTGTTGAAGATCTCCTTGAGTTACAGATAAGTGTGAACATGTTCGCGTTTGTCAAAGAATCAATAATGGCAACCGTTGATCTCGTTGGGAGATTTTCACTCGATAAGAACTTCATCACCACAAAACATACTCTCATCATCTTCTGTATTTGCAACAAGGTTTTTCAGTCAATCACGTACACTTACAAGTATTTATCCTTGGCATAACTTGCAGTTTAGTTTTTAACATTTGCAGCAAACACTGAACTTTACTTAACATAGTTCAAGATCTTCACACTTCCTCACTAGTCATGAGAAACTTCTTACTTCACAAGTGTGTTCTACAATTTTCCAGATATTTTTCAAAATTTGAATAATTATTAAAACTGATGTCCTCTACATCATTGATTGGTGGGGGCGACCTACTTGTCATTTACCTTCAAACTAACTGTGATTTCTAAGCCTCCATAATCTTGTGTAGACATGTAAGCTTCTTCCAGTACACTGTGCTCATCCAAAGACTCTATTGTCTGCCAAACGTCTAAAGTAGAAACTAAAACTGTCATCTTTAGTCAAGATCTACGAGTTAAACCCAAGGCTTATTTTTTCCATACTTTTTTCTATTGGTTGGTATGTTAAAAACTAAACACTTGTTCTTCAGATAATTTGCTGTCTAGTCTTGTGGTTGGAGTGGCATCTTAAGAAATGACCCTCCCCACTGCGTATCTTATAACATTCACGTCACTTCTAGCTCAAGTTGTTATGTCTATGTCTTGTTCAATCCAGTAAATCATCTTGATCTTCGACCTTCGTGTTTGATCATCGATCTTCTTGAAAGAAGTCCTTTGACACATCTCTGAATTCGACTCACTCTGGTAATATTTTAGAACCGCATTTTAGCGCAAAAAGCTTGTATTCGAATAACTCTAACTTTATAAAGTGGCATGTTCGAATGTTTCCTACAAAATTTGACGAAATCAAGAGACAAGGCTGTTCAAAATATTCGCATGAACATTACAGGAGAAAATCTAAACACTTTTAACCATGAGCCAAGATCTTCTCACAATGCACTCCGATCAAATCAGTATGGATATGATAGAAGCAAACGCAAATGAAATATAATTGCTTCACAATTCAACTTGTGAAGATATCAAATTTCTCGCTGATCGAGTGAAAATCTCCTTGCAACAATTCGGTGTATGTGTGCTTGTGTGTGCTTGACCATGGCCAAAAAGATACTAGTCGTTACCACCTCAGGTACCCAATGGTGCTCCCTGCGCTACAACAGGCGAGTCATTACTTTCTCAAGAGAAAAGACACGTGTAAACCCCATACTCAGTCCTGGTTACCTCGGGGTGCACTTAGCTGAAGGATTAACAGATGCCCGTCAGAATCTTGATCCAAAGAACGTGGTCAGAAGCAGATTGCCGTATTACCTAGATAATCCTTTATATCAGAATGAGAACTAAGAATTCACCCGACATCAACCACCAGGCCCACTAATCCAACACAAACATGGAGAGGCATTTGTATCCATCACAAGGTAACCACCTGCTGAGAGCCCCTGTGGCACGGCTCGGAAAAACAATTCAGCTTCTGCATTCGTAGCCCAGTAATAGACATGTTTACATTCGTGGCTCCACTTTCTAAAACAAGCTGGCTCATTTCTCTACTCCCTGCTAAATAATATACAAGCGGTACAGAATAACGCGGAAATTTTCTACAGTTTGTTCAACAGGTGTATTGAGGACAAAATTGCAATGGCCACTTTTCATATACATTCAAGGTCGGCCGCGCTACAAGGGCCAAGGTCCTCGAAGATAAAGAATCTGCCGACAAAACTCGTCCTAGTTTTGCTGCTCCCAATCTTTCAGTTTCTTGCTGCCCTGAGGTTTCGTGATCGGCCTGTTCATGCCTGCCATTTTGCTGTTGTATTTCGCCCTAAGTGGATCATTGTACGTCCATCTGCAATCCATACACACGCACGCTCGTTACACTGACATATTGTATGAATGTAGTAGTTCCCTCAATCAGGCAATAATATACGTCCATTCACGCGATACTATTTGTAGTAACCGAGAAAACAACCAGTAAACCAGCCAAAGTAGCTAAACGTTATGCACACGTATCAATGTATGTCCGTAAAGTTCGATGCAAACATTGATCATTACATTCCTCAAGCCACTTCACATAAGGCCCCATGAGATTTGCTACTTCATTTACATTTTAGCGTTAGGGGCGATGGTCTTCCACCTTTGACATGCACTAAGAATTCCATTTTGTTCTTACTTTTAATATTCCCTGTGTTTATAACTGTGTGAACTGTACTGGGCCTTTCAGTACAGTGGTCATGTAGTTATAGAGGGCGTGAACCTGCTGAAAATAACATCCAACACATCGTCTCTCTTCAAACAAGGCTTGCAATCTGGAAAAGGAAGAGAGCTGAAGGAAGGGAGAGGAAAAAGAATACGCACGGATTGTCCCATTGAGTAGTGTCCTCGGCAACGAGATGAGTCCACTTGGTGCGGCCACTTCGTCCAAAGTGCTTGACTTGCATGACCTTGGGCAATATTGTCTTGTCCATTTTATCCTCCCCGGTAGGTGCTGAGAAATCTCTCCTAAAAATGTCATCGGAGGAAGCGGCTGCTCTGTCGTCAGACCCTGATTGAAAGAAGGCACCCTTGTGATAGTATTTCTGCATAAACTTCCATTTCTTCTTTGCTGCCACGAGGGGCTTGGGATTTTTCCGCTCCCACTCTCTGCGTTCCTCCTCGGTCATGTTTCTAAGCTTTTCGATTTCCTCTTTCTCTTTAACCATGGCCTCCCTGTCTTCCCTATCCCTCTTTATCCTGGCAATTTCCCTGGCTTTCCAGGCTTCATACTCTTCTGCTTCATTAGTTTCATCATCGGTATCGATTTCACCTCCGTCACCCTCTGCGTCCCTGTTCTTCTCAATCTCCTCTTCCTGCTTTATTACCTCTACAATAATTTGTTTAGTTTCGACCTTCCTATCTTCCAACTTCTTCTTCATAGAATCTTGGAATGCTTTCTCCTCTGCTTCTAATTTCTCCCTTTCTGCGATAGTCTCTCTTTCAGCTTTCGGCACAAATACAGGCTTTACCATGGCAATACCTCCGAACTCTTCCTCTGAATCGGTTTCATACTCCGATTCCTCCTCCTCATCTTCCTCCTCCTCTTCCTCTTCTTCCATTGCAATGTCATCCTCCCTCTGCCTCTGTAAGAGTTTCTCCCTGATTTTTCTCCTCCTCTCCTCAATGGCATCATCATCTTCTTCTTCTTCGAGCTCAGCAGCTTCTGCGGCCTTCCTCTCTTCCTCCCTGGTTGATACAAGTTCGGCCTGTCTGATTTGCCTATGCCTCGCAACAGCTTCATCTCTATCTCTACGAGACTCTGCTAGACGTCGGAGACGAGGATCATCTTTCGCAGCCAAGTCCGCCTCTTCTTTTAAAGGAAACGCTTTTTCCAAATCCGCCCTCAATGACGCTACCGACCTGGGGGCTTTGACGTCTACCTCCTCCTCAACTTCGTCAGCCCATTCAGGGGCTTTTCCTGGCCAGTACCGTTTTACCTTCGTTTGTCCAATTTTTCCCCTCAACTTCTCTCTCACCGTAATGGCGGCATCACTGACACCCGCTGCCACCGACATTGTGTTTCTCCTTGGAACACTTTCTCAAATGAGAAATTAAGAAGTGCGATGCACCCGACTCTCTTCACTTGAGGTCTACTGTCACATTCACAAAGGGGGAAACATTTGAGAAATAACGCGGGTACAGTACAGCCAACCGCAAGCAGAGGAAGCTCCAGCTGAGGACCTTCAATATTCCACGATTGTCACCGAAATAGGGCCTACTACAGAATAACCAGCATAGAGTGAAAAAATGAAAATGACATACGATTATCTAACAAAAAACCTCAAGAAAACGCGTGCAAAGTCGCACAAATGCTTGGATCCCCATTCTCGAAGACTGTTCGACTTCGAGGAAACTGGAAAAACGTTCCTTCTTTTACAGGAGCTCAATCACAGTCTTAACGTTGCACACAATGCTACAATTTCTCCCCCCGTTAAGAAGTTCTAAATCCATGAAGCCTACAGCCTGATCAGCCCCAGAATCCTGTGCTGCGAAAATGTTGAGATTAAACAAAAAGAACTCATTCAAGATCACCCATTCCATTCATTCATTCCACTCAGAAGGTAGAAATGGCAGCCGAAAGGCCTGACAAAACGAATGGTCCACTGAACCGTGACAAAAATCTATGGTGAAAATTGCATTTACTTACCTGCCTTCAGTTTGTGGCGTGCGATTCCTTCCATCCACTCGAATCCAGCTCAAGAATTCAGCAGCGCTGTCAATTTGATAGGAAGATACGCAGCCTTCTCGCACTTCGGGAAAACCAAGAGAAATTCTAATCCGTGCGAATCACAACCTGTCAAGTCCATATCTAACACGGCTTCAAAATTATCGATATCCCGGCACCCCGATAGAAATTCCTCACCGATTTCTCGACAATCTCACCTCCGTTTCGCAGACTTTACTGAACCCTAATGTTTGCCACTCCCACTCCTTCGCATCGAACAATTGGACGTTGAATGTTCTTCTGGGAAAGGTATCACTCTTACGAGAACATCTTCAAAACTAAACTGAAATCTATTATGGAGCGAGAAAGGAGTCGCGATTAAGGACTAGGATTTGCACAATAATAACACTGAAGCCAAAAGACAACAAAACACGAAAGAAATGGCAAGCAATCAAAGATGAGATGATAATACATTAGTTTTTCTATTTTTGGTAAAAAAAAGCCAGCACTTTGGGTAAAACGTGTGTAAAAGAATTATCAATATATATATGCCAAAAAAATATCAACATATAGTCAGACATTAGTTATTGATAACATGCCAATAGAACTAAGATAAAACTGTCAAACGATGAAGACGTAAAATGTTGATCTAGTCTATAAATCAATAGTACATATTATTCTACGATTATATTGACCTGTGATGTGTATGTTTAGGTCATTGGAGCACATAGATAAAAAAGAAAATCAAATAAGATGAATACTTATGCACAACTATGCATCAATTAAATGTGATTGTTTGATGTGAATAACAACTTATGAAACAGATTTCAATTCACATTATGTAATTTAGCTTGTGAATATCATATGAGAAGTTTTTTAGCTCAATCTCATTAATATTTTATATGTATATGGTTGGAAATTAGCTACCAACAGAAAGTGAAGTGCATGTGTAATATGATAATATTTTTTGTTTACATAATTTCATTTGAAATATTATATTATTATACCACTAATCGCGTATGCAAGGGTTACCATATACATTTCGCATGTGCATGGTTTCATATTTGCTAAATATGTAAATCACCTAGTTCGAGGATGAGTTATCAGCCATCTTGAAGATCTGTAATATGTTGGCTCTTGAACCTCAAATCACACATATTAAGATTATCATAATTTCAGTATTTCAAGATATATTGGCCATAACTTTTACGTCACTAACATGATCTCCTGTTTAGTGACTTACAGAACATACTAATAGCTATTGCAGTTGGTAATCTATACTCTTCGGACAAAACAAAAAACTGTATCATTATTGTGGATTATTATCCCATGTTTTTTTTATAGACTAGAGGGTATATGACTTCTGAAGCTTCTAGGATGAATACTTTATCATTGTTTATATAGTGGATGATTGTTCTATGTTTTAAGATGGACTATAGGTCATAGGACTTCTGCAACGTCTAACATGAATAATTAAAATGATATCTAGATATATCTATGTTAAGTTAATATATCTATCAAGTCGAACTTACTGTTGCAACTATATATTTGTAATAGAAGGTTTTTGATATATTTAACAGATATATATATATATTTATATATATAAACAATTCAACTTTTTTTGTTCAATAAATATATTTTGAATGAATAAAATATTCTTATCATATAGAATAAAGATATGAAGTGCTAATTAAGTCTACAGTAAAATTTTAACTTAACATCGATAGTTCATTGTAGATTCATTTGATAATATATTTTTTTTAATATATAAGTTTGACTTTTGCACATAATTAATTTGAATAAAATAATTAAATGATAGAAATTTTTAGTTATCTGCATATAAAACCAAAAAAACATAATCATATTTAATGAATTTAAATCAAATGGTTATTTCAAATATTTATGAATAAATGTATAATATATAATACATTCAAACAAACAATACAAGATGCAGTCTTCAGGATTCAATAAAACAAAGTGGTTGTTTTCACAAGCTGGATAAGAAAAAGGTTTTATTTAATATGTTACATAGAAATTATATAAACGTGTTGATAATGTTTTAAAAGAAAGAAAACTCCAAGGCAACCTACATAATGGGAGGTTGTCAAGATGTTACACATAAATCTTACACTTTTAACTACAACAGTTAAATTTTCTTTGAAAGAAATATGAATGTACTTCAAGCTTGATTTACTTATCAATTATAAAGATCATAAATGGATTATTATTATGGTTCATTTACAATTTTTGATATTGTAAAAAATGTATACGTCTAACAATTCACTCTACAATTTGAGTATATTGAGTCATGTATTCATCTCTTGGAGTTGTCATACATAATAAATTGCTCTTTGAAGAGTAAAATTCAAAATTGTAGAAAATCTTGGATTAAGTTATAATTTTATGATTTACCTTTAATATTTTAAAAATTTCCTCTCTCTTGAGTTCATTTTGTTTTGTTGAAGTCATTGTCACATGAACTATTGCAATAAACAAAAAAAAATTACAATACAACTGTAAGTGTTTTGATGAGAGATAATATAAAATGATGATATTCCCTCATCCTTTTTCTTTTTTAACTCGATAAAAATAACAATGTTGATAGATGTTTAAGAATTAATCTATATGTGCATTAAAAAATAAAATGATAATTAGATATGACAATTCAAAGGAAAAATATTGTGATTAAGTCAAATTCACAACATTCAACGTGTGTGTTTAATATGATAAATTTTTAGAAAATCGAACTAGTCTAAAATCACATTCCAAAATGATTGAAATAAAATGTACATTGAGAAAACAAAAATTTCCAAAACTTACAGTGTTAAGTTAGGAGACATTTTCATGTATTGAAGGTATGTGTTGGTCATGATATTGCTCTAATTATGGATAAGATGAGCATGTATAAGGTAAAATCATAAAATTTGTATTGAAAAACCAAGAAGTATTTTTTTATATAATTGAAGAGTAATAAGGGTTATAACTTTATTTGATGGTTAATTGAACAATGTCAAATCCTTGTTAGCCTATGTTAATTATAAATAAAATTAAATCTATTATTGTATATATGTTTACACTTGGTGATGAATCTATTAGTTAAAATTTTACTTTGCAAAAATGTATAATTTAATCGAGTAGTAAGGTCAAATATGTTGAAATGAAGTATCTAACTGATAGAAAAGACCATTGTTGATATAAGATTAAAATTAAAAATTTACATATCTTATATCATCATTATCCAACTTTATTGTAAAAGTCAAGATGCATAATATTTTACAATAAATCAAGTGATGGATAGCGTGATCATACATCCACATAGATTTTGAAGATGAATCTTTATGCAATCACATATTAGATAGAGGAACAAAAAATTGGATATTTAACAACAAATTTAGAAAGAGGAACGAACAGTCATTTCATAAGAATATAAATGCGGCAAGTTTCATTCACAGTTTTCATTCTTAACTCCATATCAATTTATTCAAAAAGCTATGACTTTCCATGCTAAATATAAAGCCATAACTCAAATTTCGATAAAAGCAAAGAGTTACACGATCTTTCAATTGAAGGCTATAAGCGTGATAAACATGCAAAGTAGGTTAGTGGTTAGCAATATAAGAGTAGAGTAAGAAGTTTAGGATTTTCTAGTAGATCAATACATGTAATAAGTCAAGTGTTTTGTTTGGGTTTCATAATTATACGGTCGGACATAGAGTTTCCGGATCCTAAAATCACTTCGGGAAAGTGTAAGTAATCTGTAGAATTTAACGCATCCTTTTAGAAGTTGAAATGTGAAAAAATGACCAAAGTATAGCATGACCTACACTTTGACACATTAGTCCTAAAGCGTATAAGATTGTCATTGATTTATTCATTAAACATCATCCACAATGTGAGTGTAATCAGTTCAAGAGTGAACACGCCCTAAACCAGGAAAATTAATTATATCTTTTAGATTCAACTCTTTACATCTATCAATGGATAATGAACTATGGCAAATAAAGATTTATTTTTAACTGTCTCTTTCCAATAACAATAATTTAAGATCTAGTGACTCTTCGTGAAAATAAGGTTATACCTTAAACATATCCATTTCCAATAACAATAATTTATAAAAGCTGTGACTCTTAGTGTTAAAGCACGTGATGATCTAACAGCGTGGTTGTAGGAAGTTGGTACTGGAAGAATAAGTTCCGAAAACGTGCACCTACTTTTAGTGATAAAGAGGAAAGCACCTGAGAAAATGTAGAATGCTATGTATGGTTACTTATGTACGAATTCAATCATAAGCAGTCTTATGTGCAAATCACTGCATGTCATTAAGTTTTATTAGGTTTGCTAAAAAATAAGTATTTGACATATGGGCTTTAGTAGTAAGGATCCCCAACATTGCACCAATATTCAAAATCACCAACATGAGCGTAATTTCTTATCATGCATCTAGACTTCAGGAGCAGGTTTTGGTGCCCTTCGTCGCTCTCTGAACTTACAGCAATTCGGTGAAGAACAGTAGTGGGAGCTTGTGAGTTCCGACGTTTGTTTCGTGATATTCTTCTCGCCTGTAAATTTAGATTCTACGTACTGGTGTGTAATCCAGCGAAATGTTTGGTCACCGATGTGGAAAACTCTAAACAGATGGAAAGGTGTACTGAACACATGCGTGGTCGGTTTGCGCTTAAGCAACCGCGGATCACGGGAGGAGAAATCGATATTTTCTGATTCCCAGTTGGCCAGATTCTCCCCGACAATCGTGGATGACAGATGTGAATGTTAAAGCACTCATGAATGCAACCAATCAGGGTGAAAACTTACTCCAGTATCTGCAAAACCTCTGAAATACCACGTGGTTGGTGTGCAGAAAAGTAGAACGAAGCCATTTGCCACTTGAACACTCTTCGTAAAGCAGTATCAAAATATGAACCTATCCAGGTGGAACAAAGTAAATAGTACCCAAAAGTGCACGTGGTATCCAAAGCTCTTCTCCGTTTTGGCATTTACCTCGACTGAGAATGCACAAGACTTTAAGCGAGTAGCGATGAATGAAATATACTCAGCAATGGAAGGCAAACAAGTATAGAGAGAATGAAGTCAGTCCAATACATAGAGTAAAAAATGAGAAAGTTTCCCGTCTTTGATGGACACAAAAATTGATTCTTACAGGATCCAAATTTGTGGAACTGTCCAAAACAAAGAGGTTGGACTAGAGTTACTAAATAACTACTTATCACATTTACTATGGGAACCACGTTGAGAAATCTAAGATTGTCTAGCCTACGCGAGAGCTCAACCCTCTTTGCATGCGTTAGAAAGAGATGGAAAGCAGATAAACTGCGCATCCTTACAATCCTGCGCATGCGATGACTAGCTCTGAGGAACTGGAATCTGCACTCAATTGAAGTTCTGAACCTTATACAATAAGCGAACTTCGTTCCTAGGCCATAACCTCGCCAACGCACGCAACCACACTACTCTAAAGGTAAGAGAGCACCTTCTTTCAAAGTAGAGGTCACAGGGTTCTCTCGACCTACTTCTCTTTCTCATTGGCGACAAAATAGGAGGACTTGTTCGTCCCATGGCCTAAACATGCAGAACGGAGCATCCCTCTAAGGATGCTCCGTTATTTCCTGTGTGAAATTGGATAGCTATGAAGTGGAACAGGGAACCCAGTAGATGTTGAAAGGTCAGGAGAAATGTGAGCTGCACAAAACTTTCAGAGAGTTCCAGATGAGTTCCACGTCCTAAGTAGAACTCCAGGAGGAAGAAACAAAGCGACATTTGAAGAACTCAAGCCCAATAATGCACAATAGCAAGCCACTATTCCACAAGCACTAAGGCTCAATGGACCTAAAAGTGTCAAGCCCCTCTCTACACCTAAGTTGGAAGATCTTCGTGAGCATGAGTGCTTCTCTAAATATACCTTACAAATGGATGTGATGACCATATAGGAAAGGTTGTATCTACATCTCTAAAAGTGAAAAAGAGACGGCTCCCAAAATCTATGGCTGTCGGCTTGCCTGCAGGGCAGCACTCAGTTGCTTTAAACCCTCTCCAATGTTGTTCAATGCGCTGATATAACCACTTCCAAGCTCCATCGTGCCCCTGAACTTCTCTTTCTCGAATTTAAGTTTAACCTTCTCCATTTCCATATCTTCCTTGTGGCGCTTGTCCTTCCGTTCTTCTGATTCCATCATAGCATCCACCACTTTCTTGTTGTTTCTCTCCAGGATCGGAGCCATTCTGTCTGAGGACTTCGGCAACAACTTTCTCTTCCTCAGGGTACTGGGTCCATTGGCATTCTCCGCGTCATCACCTTCCGAATCCGAAAACTCCCCATTGCTTCCAGCTGTGTTGTCTGGACTTCCTCCTGCTCCTGCATCAGATCCATAGGAGCATGCTACAAATAACTTCAGTTTATTACCACCCGTGTTAGTCAAGAGCATAAGTGCAAAACTAATGGCATAATAAGCCTGCGTGATGTGAAAATAAAACGTGTTCCTTAACTCATATCTGATAGTTTAAAGGCTCCTGCCATTTCATTTGATTTGACGTCCAGAGAAACCACATACTTCTATTCAACTTATTATCACGAGCTGTTTGCGGTCAATATATGTATATCGTCCTTTTGAATAAAATGGCACGATCATGGAGAGTGGCCATGTACTAGTTCAAGGAACTGCTATCCACAAAAGCTTCGAATCAACTCAATCAGGGTCTGAAGATTTGCGAAGTTACAATAAAGAAACGCAAACGTTAGAGGTATATCGGTAGTACGCTTGAGAGATATATAAATGTACGAAGCTAAGTCCACCCACAATCCAGGATGGACGAGGGGCATTAGAAGCTCACACGATTACAAGGAATAGAAAGGGTATACTAAGCTACATAAAGTCAGGTCATAACTCTTTCTCCCGGGTTCCCGCATAAGACTTGAGCTGGGTTTCACCTCCAGTCCAACTGAAACAGGATAGTAAACAAAACGTGTAATTTTGTGGGCCCCTTTTGTGCTAAAAGAGGAGCCTGGTTCATCGTTCTTGGCACGCATGAGTATTTACTTCATTCGGTTTTCGACAAAGGCATTCACAATTCCAACTGGAAAACCAGTGCCCTCGATAGAAACTGCTAGTAATAAGATAAACTGCACACATACAGTCAGGTGTCTTGGCTGACGATATATCATCCCAATTTACAGAATAACATAGTCACAAAAGACAGAAGTATGACGACTGCAAGATCAAGGTAATCAGAACCTTTCAGAAATTGTCTAATTCCAGGTTGCTAAACTTTTCTGACCTGATTTCTAAACACAACACATTAGACTTCAGTCCCATGGTAAATTGTCCAGCACATCCAATAAGTTTACGATGGAAACCATTGTGCCCTCCCTAGTATACGTGGTTCTATTATACAGTAAGGCTGAGACACACGAGCTCCATGGTCACTGCAGTGATAGATACTAGTCTGCAGCATTCCTGATTCCTGTTTGTGAGAAAAGAATATTCGATAGACTGAGGGTTGCCAGTTGCAACTTCTATAATAGTGCACTAGGCAGTATTCAAAGATGTGCATGTCACAGCCCGAGACCATAGACCCCGCACCCTGGTTGTGAGGTGCTAGTGTGAAATAAATAAGCAGCTGGAAAAGACATGAGAGAAGTAGGAGGTAAATGATAAGAACTTGAGAGTTGAGAAGATATCTCTTACTGTGGGGAAACTCACTCTAAATAAGATAAGTTCGGATACCTATGGAAAATAGGCTAGCCTGATAGCACTTGCACGTGGGTAAGTTACTTCAATACACAGATGGTGTCAAGTTAATACTTAAAGAGAGGTATTGAAGGATATTGACTCCAGAAGATTAGGTTTGGAAAAGTGTTTGCTGCCTGCCTCAAACATTATAAACGCAACATCTTCCCCACGCTAGAATGCTAGCCTTTCCTCAGTTTACTTCTGGCAACGAAATTCTTCACTAGAAACTTCTGTGCGAACACAAACTTACCAATGCGCAAGATCGGTGCTGGGGTCGACGTGTCCACTGCAAGTTCTCCTGGGTCTGCTGCTTTGCTCTTGTTGTACCATTCCGTAAGTGCTTGGAAGACCTCTTTGTAAAAATTTCGAGGAAGTCTATGCTTCTTCCTTTCGTCCCCTAACATCTCCCAGTACGATCTTTGACCACTCGGTATATTTTTCTCATAGTCATTGACCTTTTTGAACTCCGATGCTAAAAGTTCCCACTTATCCTGACACTGTTGTGCACTCTTTAACACTCCTTGCGCCCAGCAGTAGTCTTCGATCCACTGCCATCTTTCTACAGCTGTCTTCTTCTTTTCTTTCAAACCACCCTTGTTTTGCCGGTCAAAATCCTCCCTTCTAGCGGCCTGCAATATTACCATCTCAGCAGGGGTCCAGTTGCTCTTCTTATAAGTACGGCCATTCCTGGATCCTTCGGGATCCCCATAGAGGACATCGTCGTCTATTTCCTTACTTTGATCGTCGTTCACCTGTACTATGGCGCGAGGATCCGCCATAGCGACCTCCTCACTTGTCATCCCAATTGGAACTCGAAGAAAATGTCTCTCGGCCAGAGTGAATGATTGTCTTTAATCGGGGGGAAAAATTCCACCTCCAACTTGAACCCTAAACCTTCCTAGCGTCCTGCACTGCCAAACCTCGTCTATCTACATAAGAGTGAAGTGGGACACGACACCCTTCCCACAACTATCAGACCAGGCAGTCTACCGTTAGGGTCTGCCCCGCGCCCTGCTTCCCGCCCTCTGAAGTTCTTCAACTGCCATTCTCTTGCGCCAAAAATGCATTTGCTGCCGGTGAGCGAAACCGGATTACCCTCAAGTGCAGCTCAGCTTCAAAATTTATGAGCAACGTCGAGTTTTTCATGACCACCTCGTACAAGCTAGAGCTCCGGAACAAAAATCCTTTCTTCGCGTATGAGTGCGGGTGCAGTCCGTGCTTCCTGTACCAAAAAAAAATTCCATGCAGACGAGACCCCACATTCAAAACTCACAAATACGCGCGAAATCCTTCCTCTTTTGCACCAATCTCTCAAAATACTACTAATTCACCCCAGTAGGTACAAGTGGAGTCTCTCAATCTCCCGTGGCTACACTGTCCTCGACTCACGCAGAAGCACTGTACAAGTGCAACCTCTCCCCAAAGAAGTGGCAATTTTACCTCCCACCACCCACAACAGAAACACACTCGCGATTCCAACAGCATCATACACACGGAAACCCACCTTACTGGCACCTGGTCGTCTCCGCTCTGCCGCACCTATTCCTGCGAGTCCGTGCCGTCGTTGGTATTGTGCTCAGCTCCCTCACGGGCGAGCGGGCACCGGGCAGCCGATCACACTCGAAGCCGGAAAGAAGACAACACAAACACAGCAGCCACGGGGTGGACACACGACGCACTACAGCAGCAACATGAGGGAAGTCGGGGAGGAATCAGAAAAGGTCGAACATCCGCACCATGACCGGCCACCTATCTATCCCTAAACCCAAAACTACCAAACCCTTTCGCGTCCAAAAATTCGAGCGACTTCTCTGCTGCGCAATCCTCTTCCTTCCCAATTCGGCCCAATCTTTCCTTGCTTCTCGTGCCGCGCTAGCCGATCACCGTCGCCACAAGATTCTCCTCGACACGGGCTGCTCTTCTCTGGAACATCGACAACATGCTGCAGTGGGGTCCGAGGCCGTCGACAGTCGAGTGCAGACGCAACGCGGGTTCGTGCGCTGATATGAGATGGGTTCGCTCGCCCACCCGAGTCAAGCCCAGCCCCGTCCAGTCATCCCGACTCGTGCTTAACTTGCAACACCCATCAGGCCTTAACCACGCTTTAACCATGCCTCGGAAGAGGCGACCGACCGGTCGGTCGATACAGACACGCCCCCCTCTGTGCACTGGGAAACGGAGACGTGGAATGATTTGCGTGTACCGGAAAAATGAATGCTCAGTCATTCCCGCACATTCCGGAGTCCGGGCGGGCGGGAGGCCGAGTCACGGTCGTCGTCACGTGACGTCGTGCATTCTTCGAAGAGCAAGTCAGACGTCGCGAGACATCTTGGAGCCAATTATTTTCTCCATATTTTGGACTTCGACTTTACGTGCCGTTTCGAGGAGTAAAGGAGCGTCGGGTGCTTTCCTATTTTCTTTTCGCAGATCGAGCGAGTGGAGTTGTCTTTCTCTGCCTCCCAGAGCAGCGTTAAAAAGTTGAGCTGAATGATTTTCTGTATGCAGTTCTTATGTCAATGCCGACAAATCTAATCATGGCACTCGCGGTATCGCGAGTTTTTGGTTTCTTTTCCGTCTTTCATTGTCAAACCTTGTATTTTCTGAATATTTTATTTTAAAATGTACTCGAAGAGTAACAAATCAAATCAAAAAACTAATTAAGACCTCTTGGTATGAAATACAAAAGCTATTTGAAACCATGAACAAAGTTTCTGGAAGATGTATCTCTGTAGCAAATCTCTATAGCTGTTCAGTTACAGTTCCAACATTTTGACAGTACAGATTTTTAGTATGAGTAATAAGGAAGTATTTAGCACACGTGAAATAATCAAACCCATCTTCATGAAACAAATGACGTAATGATGATAAAGATGTACACTTTACCAACATTCATTTTGATAAGAGAATTTCAAAATGACTTGATACTTAAGTGTCTTTTATAAATCATATGAAAAGTTAACACACTGTAGAATAGCATGAAACACATTCTAGAACAATTTATATTGGAAATTTAAGAATAATAAATGTAAACAAGCAACTCTAATATTACATTGAATCACATTGGTAGCAATAAAAAGTTATATATTAATGTTATGGGCAAATTTGTTTGAAAATTGCCAATACAACATGATGGTCAATTATGATTATATTACTTTTGAAATATCAAAATTTAAACTACTTTTTTTATATCTTGTATTGATTATCATGTGCATCAATTAGATGGGGATTGTTTGAAAAGATTATCACATAATATTGATTACAATGATTTTGCATTATGTAAATATGAATATTTAAATAGCTTCTTTGACTTGTTAAATATCAATGTATAAGAATTAAAAATATTTCAAGACTAATTACATTTGAGGATTTTAAATGATCTCTTGAAAATACTTTTATGTTAAATTTTTGAGTTTCAAACATCTAAATTATAGCATTTGATGATTGAGATAATACATATTACACAATTAATAAACACAGAGATTTATCAGTTCTTTTAAAACATAGCAGTAATCAATCATACATGTAGGTACATAAAGGTTTTAGTTTTTATTTTAAAACTAAAAATAATAAACATAAATTATCCATATATCACACACATTTCACATACACAATCAAATTCAAAAGTTTTATAATTTTATGTAAGTCATGATCTTTGAATGTGATTTTTTATCAAAATATATTTTTAATTATTTCATATTTTAAATATTAATTAAAATATTTTTCATGTGATTATTTAAATTTTTATCACAAATAGTTAACTCTTAATTAATAATTTTGATGAAATTGATATCATATTTATATTTAAGAATTATATGTATACAATTCTTAATTCTTAATTCTTAAAAAAAATTATCAAAATAATTAAAAAATTATAATTTATAAATAATGAGATAATTATTATAACAGGCATAAAAGATATATTATAACACACTTCATTCAATAAAATAACCACCTTACACTTATCTAGCCAATTATCATAATCAATTTATTTACGACATAACATTAATGAATAATCAAATGATTATCTATTGCAGTACTGTAGATTTACATTACATTGAATAAACTGGATTTCTTTATGAAATTAATTTTGTTACTTTCATAGGGAAAATTATAAAAGTTGAATATTTCAACTAATTTTTTTTCTTGATTCAAATGATTAAAATTCTAAATCATTTTATAAATGTTATAGTTTTAATAAACATCTCTTCCAATATATATATATTTATTTATTTATTTATATTGAATATATTTTTTATTGCAATTCAAACATAATAAAAATAATCATAGAACATTCTTGCAGATACTGTAAATTTGTGTGTGACTAAAGATTTTCTTTCTTTTCATATGGCACTAAAAACAATATTAGAGCAAATTAATCATGATATGAGAATATCAAACAAAGTGATAATAAAATATCAAAGTTGATATGTTCACAAAATTGTAAGTTTTCGAATATAATAGTAAAAATATTCAAAATTTTACTTACACATGAATGATAAACATGAATTTATATAACGAACATATGTAAATTCAAATGTAATGTAATATGAAGAGATTCATAAAGTTCATCTACAAAAGAATATAATTAAGATTCTTGAGTTTAATCTCAAGAAAATTAAAGATTATGTAGCTTAAAAATGTATATTTTAACACATATATCATATTAATGAGTAATATGCATCCTAATTTACATTTTAAGCAAGGTCTTATCAATTTTCTTAAAAGAAACTAAAATGACAATTTTTGAAACAAAATAATTTTTTCTTCAACAGGCATATCACTAATTTTGTTATCATACTCGAATCATTACATAAAAAAAAATTATAGATTTTAATTAGCTTAAAGTTTTTAATTGTCTAGATAACTGAATGACTTCAATGTTTTGAAATAAACTTGTACTAACGCAAGTTTGTACGTCTCCCCACGTTCTCTTGCTTGAGAGTAGAAAGACATGAAGAAATGTTTTATAGCAGCAAAATTAGTTGAACATAGTTCAACAACTAACTTTCATTTAACCAAAACTGAATTGCATTAAAAAAAAACCTCATTTTGAACATCAAATTTGTAGATCAAAGATTTCCAATCGTTATTGAATGTGAACTATCTTAGAAATAACCCCTCGGTGAAACCTCCAATAAAATTTTGAAACTTATTTGAGAGACCATCTCTTTCAACACATGATATGTTGTTTACTCATTAGCATGTATCTTTTTATTGGAAGTGATATATATATATATATATATATATATGTGGATGGGGAATGAAAGTCTTGTTACGAGTAAAATCGTTGAAAAATCGTTACAATGAAAGTCTTGTTGAAAGTATCGTTACGTCGTAACGATACTATCCACTCACAATACTGTATTACAAATCCATGATAACCTCCATCATCAAACATGGATTGGAATCTACCTCCTGTTTCAATTCTTTCTCCTCATTGTTGATCACGAACAGTCTCCTTGCCACGTCTTTCAAAATGATTGTATGGATAGAGTTGAACAAACCTCATGTTCGTTTAAGAATGTTGGTATACTGCAATTCGTTTTTCTTCTCAATTTTCCTTCGGTGTTGCAATCTTCTCTGTTCGTCAATCTTTTCACTGTGTACACATTATGCGTTAAAATCATCGCTTCCATTTCTCCACGGATGCCGCGTCTAAGATGTTAATGATGATGCAAGCAATTCATCATTCGAATAGCCTAAGGAAAGTGGTGCATGTATCATTTTCGTGTACACAACCAACTCAATTAATTTGCGATGGCTGTCTTCGTTGTTCACACTCTCCTATGAAGGGCATTCAACACGCTCTAAAACATAGTCAGATTTAAATTGAATCAGATGCAAGTCTCTTCACTTAGTTCATTGTCGTTACATTCTAGACCTTCATGGCGGGCAGTAAATGATTGGCCATTTGCTGCTCCCATGGAATTCGTGCAAACCATGTGAACTTTATGACGTCAGCGAGAAGACTCGATTTATGTACGAATAGAGAATAGCTGTTGAAAGCTCCTTACTCACAACAAATTTACTAGGGGAAATGTACCCCGTGCCTTGCACTTAAGTTACAGGTTCATTTTATTTACAAAAGGTGTCTCCTAACAGGATCAGAAGGTTTCAATGCAAGGGACTTGGGATGGCATATGGTTGAAGTTTGACAACATTGTTGCATCTCTTGCAACAACGCTGTCGAATGGCTAACTGGCTGCAACTGTCGCCACTGCTGACGCGTAGCTCACACTGCTGTCTCTCATGCTTTTGCAGTGGCTAGATTGTTCGTACTGCAAAAACTTGATCTGCAACCTAGTGTTGCAATGCTCCAGCATCTGCACCCATCAACTTGCCCCGAATTAAGACTGGGAAAACCATTTGAAGTCATTTCACGGTCTCCAAAACTGCAGAAACTCACCAACACTCTACCACAAGTCCATTAACTGGAAACATCCCAGAAAACTGGAACAAAACATTGTCAAGATTCTTGTACATGGTGGACAACAACAAGATGCTAGAACAAGATTCTCCCGCATTGCGATCGTCATGAAGAAACTTACATTGAGAAAAACTCCAATCGGGTGTTGACCGCAGATTGTGTTGTCATATTCTTGCATGTAGTCCCTGAAAGCCCTTGGATCGCCAGTTTCTATGATACTCATGCCGTTTTGATCAAGAGCTTCGATTGACTTGTAGATAGGACCATGCTTTTTCTCGTAATAAGTATAGTTAAACCTACAATGAAAACTGTACTAGTTAGTGTCTCTTATCACAGATTCAAGAACGTAGGCCGCGCGTTTTGCCTTGAAGGTCAATGAACCTATCTGCAAAGCTGACTAAAAGAGATTGATAAATGAATCGAAGAACACCGAGGCTGGTTTTGCAAAAAGTTTAATAAAAAAAAATGCATCTCATTTCTGACATTCATAACAATCAGGTTTTGATTCAATTTCCCGTCACATCTCATCACACCTTTGTGCTCTGAAAAGTTGGTAATGTAATGCCTTAACATCCAATAACGACATACCGGAGAATGAAAAATGCTAAGATTGACAAGTTTTAGACTACTCTTACCGTGAGCCCCAGTGACAAAAGTCTGACGAAACAGAGAAGAAATTAGAAGGATCATCTATGTACTTTGCAAGCAAACGTCCATAAGCTGCCTCACTATCTGGCTGCAGAGCCCCGACCAAAATTGGGACAACCTTCACCGAGCACCTGCACACAACGAGAAAGATATGAATAAAACCAATGACGTGCAGATTTAGTTTACATACATTTGCATCGCTTTCAGGAGAAATTGCAAAAGAGCATCTCTCATCTGAAACACTTAACTGCCAAGATATTCTTATACATTTTTACGGCGATGATTATATACTTGAAGATCTAGTTAGCTGTCATACCCCTGGAAAACCTTCGCTATGTAAGGCAAGTGCATCTCCATACTGTGTTCTGCTTCATCCACACTGATTTCCATGTCTTCAAACCTTCCTGTAGCCTTAAGTTCCTGATATACTGCAATCATGTAACTCATAAGGTAAGAATTTCATTCGTCTGCCTATCTTACTCAACATCCATCGATATGCTCCTTGGTGAGTTAACATCCTGAGACATAATGAAAACTCTGCCATATTGGAGCCATTCACTTCAGACTGCCTCTACCTGACTCCAGGTATAAAGGAACAGGTTTTTTCTCCAAGAACGCTACATCTGAAAAGAGTATTTTGCGCAATTCTCAGCAGCTTCTCATATTCATCAAGGACAAACTGAGAAATTGCAGCACAATTTGGCAGATTTTTCTCGCCACATTATCGGGACACTCTGATGTCAAACTTGCATCAAAACTGAACTTCTATACGCATCGACCACTCGACAGAAGAGACTCTAAGGAACGAACGGATCCTACCAAAGGTATTGACGGGAGCCTGCACAAGCGGTTGAGCATGTGGTCCTTATCTATAATGATTTTTCAACTCTCCATGAATATTCAGATCTGGGGACGGAAGGCTAGTCCATGTTAAAAGCTCGGCCAACAGGGCCTTCAAGAGCCCGAGAATCACTCAGAACGAGGCCACAAGGCTCCGATGTCCTGATTGGTTGATTGTCAAAAAGGCTTCTTTTTTTTTATGACCGGATTACGGTCCCGGTGTAAGGGCAACGCAGATTTTTTTTAATCAGAAGACACGTGTTGGACTAAAATATATACAACCCTACCAAAACTTCATGAACATCTTGCTTGTTAAAATACTCAGGAGAGAGAACGGTAGCTGCATCGTCACCAAAGGGCAGTCCATGTTTATGCGCATATTGCAAGGGCAAGAAGTCATAACTGTAAATGTGGACCGAGGATCTGGAACATTAGAAATTGACATTCACGAACATGCAATACTCCATTGCTGTATATATAACTCACCTTCAAGATCAATAGGTAGATCTCCGAGCGGGGTTTTGTATACAGAAGTTGTGGACAGCGCGCACTTGCGGGTGAAGTGATGATGAGATGGTCCAAGGAGGAAAACCCGTGATCTGTTGATTCCATTGATTAATTTATTGAAATTGTGCACGTATATCCAGATTACATTCGAAACCAGTACAGTCAAACGTGGAGTCCATATTTATAGATCAAAATATAAGAGACAAAGTAACACAAAAGCCCAACGCAAGCTTTACGATGTATTCCATGACAGCATATAAAAAGCGAAAATAGCATGCATGGACCAGGAATCATGTGCAGTCATATATTTTAGGCAAGATTACTACATGGACAGGACAAATAATATGCAATATCAGCTGTAAGTTGGACGGCAAGTTTATGAATTCTGATTGTGGCAAATAAAGTGCGGTAGGCACTAATCTTATGATGCGTACAAAATTCAGAACCAACCCAAAACAGCAAAGACGTGAGCATCAAGTCAACTTCGCTCCCAACTGACGTGATAGGCGCCGTCCAACAGTTTTCCTTCGAAGCTTACCATGCAACCTCGCATCCCGAATTCTGTCCCTTCATTAGAGATATACAAATACTTCATACATTGGTGTTATGCATGTGGTTCCTTCCCGAGTAGGGATGCCTACAGTGTGCAAAATATGGAATGTTTCATGTATATATGATACATCTGTGTTATCTTACATGGTTTGTGGGTCAATATTTGCGAAAGCGTATGCGGCACACCGTCCTGAATACCGATAGCCTGCATGTCTGAGATCGCTCGTGAAAACGCAAACAAAGGAGTGAGAAAATTATGACCATTTACAAAAGAACTCAGTCCCGTCTGAGACTCTGAGACCGTCTTGTCCACTGAACTTTCCTTATTTCTAGATGGCATGTCCACAAACTCAATTTATTTGTGCAGGAAAAAAACTATGCTGGAAGCAAAAGACGTGCAACAATCGCTCTGAAAAGAACAAGGTGAGAAGGTGGTCTCACGGCGCAATCACAGCTCTTGCATTCGAGCGCTTCGCTGAACCAGCAGCCCGGAGCCATCTGTCCAGCTCGTCCCCTAACTCCCGTGCTGAAATAGAAACATCGACATAACGCAACGTCTCAGCAATCGCTCTGAGAAGATGAGTTCTTTATTTGAGCTGACTGACAAGCGGCACGCCTCAAATCAACTCTTGTTGATCCGGCTTCCGATAGCGCGAACACATACTGTCAAGTGAGGGCTGAATCAACAGCAACTCAGCAACAAACCTAGCCAAGGAGTGTTTCGCTAGTTCAATTTTCGTCTTCAAAATCTGCCCCAATCTACAACTCCCTTCTCTTCACTGCCTTCTTGTGTTGCCAACGCATCCTTCCCGCAAGGAAAGACCAGAATTGGCCAACTCTATATACGAAAATACAGATCATCCTACACTCATGCTGGCAATTCATATTCAAACGCCTATCATCACTCTCCTCCGCTGAGATCTTTTACTGTCCCGTGCACGATTACTGATCAGATCAAAGACCAGTAGCAGTTGCTCCGGTCCTTATCCAAAAGACCGACAAATCAACTTCGAGCAATTGAATATATATACATGATAACTATGAAAATGCAAACATCTTCACGGCTATGTGTAAAGGAAACACAATCGCGCACACACTGCAACGAGAATCAACTGGAAAAAGACAAAGGCACCAAACGATCCTTCTCGCGAAATCAACCTCGACACAAAGCCCATCCACCAAAGATAACACAAAAACCCTTACTGCCCCGCGTGGCCTGCACCGACAAAAGGGACGCTGGAACGAAACCGGTGGGACAGGACAGGACCAGGATCCAGATACTCAATCATTCATAATCGGGCGTCAAGAACACCAAATTCGCAGCCAATTCCCTGTACTGTACCGACGAGGGCCGCAGGAAAGACCACTACCGTTCTCCGTGTACCAAGTGCCGGCGTGCGAGGCGTTCCGAGCCATCGTCCTCTCCAGCAGCAGGAGTTGCGCTCCGCTGTGATTCGGCCCGCGGAGCAATCTTGGTGCTCGCCTGCGCTCGTCGTGCTCGTGCTCTTGCTCGTGCTCGCTCTTCTTCTCCTTCTGGCCCCGGCGGCACCTCCTCCCGTCAAACAGCCCACAACAGCTCCCGCGTCCTCTTTCTTTCATCGCTCCTCTCCCTCCTCCTCCTGCTCCTCCCGACCCCAAGGAGGAAGAAGGTCCGGCCGGGTTAATGCGGCCTCACCCGACCGGCTCCGGCCCGTGATTCCGTAGCAGCTACGTACAGAACGGGGCCCGCCCGCCCGCCGGTGCACCAATCGGACGACCCGGTGGGGGGCGAGATCCATGACGTGCATGCGTAGTGGGCCCCACGCATAGCCTCGATTCTTCCGTCTGGTCCCGGCTTCTGGCCGCTTCGGAATCATCCCCTCGTTTTGCGGTGGCCTTTTCTGCGTGTTCCGTCACAGCTCAGCCCCTCATGTGCAGCACCCTTTGTACGATCTGACTCCGTCGGCCGTCGCCGTCCCAGGACCTTGGACGACCTGCGGTCCGATCGAGTTTATCGACCCAAGGACCTCCCTCGGTCGCAATCTGTCGGTCTTCTTTTTGCACTTCCAGGCACCCGCGACGGAATCAGACCGGTCAAGCACAAGTGCTCGATGTCTTTTCCAGTGTGCTTGAGGATGGACGTGATCTTCCATCGTTACCCTTCGATGCAATTTTCGTAGCGCGTTAGGTTCTGTGAGATAAAATTTATTCTGTAGTCTGAGTTATCTTTGGCGTTGTTATATATTCCGGTACTAATATCAAACTTTCAGCTATTTTGTATCTTGGTATCGCAATTGCTCAGCGAAAATTGATCTCAAAATTTTCCTTTCTGTGCATAACGGTTGTTAGACTCGATGCAATTAGTGTCCTAATGAAGGTGAAATGTATTTTGATCATCAATGACAACAAAATATTCTGAGTTGTTCATTTCATTATATTCAAGTACTCAGATCAAGAGGATTCAAGATTTGATTGTTAAGAAAGGATACATCATACTTGAAATCTAAAAGAGTATTCTGGAATAAATATGATCTGATAGCCACAAAGACATTTTGTTGAAAAGTCTTCTTTTTTACATTTATTTGAAATACCTATAAATTAAAGAACAAGTATTCACCTCGTTCAGCTCACTGTCAACTTTTCAGCTTTTCATATACAATTATGTTCAGTCCATATCAATAAATAAAACAAAAGACAATTGAAAAAATTACTTTTCTGTCCACTCATTCACCATTTTTTTGTGAGATTCAGTTGTTAAAAAAAATTTAAACCATTTTTCTACAGTTACATTATCAATATCACAAAAGATTTATTTTTTGCTTTACTATGAATATATTTGAAGACAATGTTTTCCCTCAAAATAAATCTGACAAGAACAAGGAGTATCTAGTAAATTCTATATCCAACCGATTTGCATTGCACATATTACATTATTCTTGTAGAAAATAGATCTAAAACTAGAAATTCAGAGTTCGATAATTCAATCAAATATAATAATACTATATACTATAATTTTTTACTTTGTTTATAGTCATCTAGATGATCATTTTTCATACACTTACGAATATATGAGAAATACGTATTCTACTATACAGATATCAATATACAAATAAATTAATTAATATCATTTAAAAAAATTAATATAATTCCAATATTGGTATAAATGTATAATATATATTTATATTTATATTGGAAAAAACCATAAAATTTATAAGCTGTTACTTTTTATGCTGTCCATGTTATTTATATTATGGACTATTTTTCAAGCATTTAGGTAAAAATTATTTTAAAAGATCGGAATAAATTAAAACATGTCATATCAACATTCTGTTTACACTTGTAAATTTTTTAGAATATTAAACTATGGTAAAAAATAATTTTCCCCGCTTTTAAAGAATAGTCAAATACCAAGAAATGTCAACTCGTATGAAAAAAATACACAATCATTTCATGAAAATCACAATTTGGAATATTCATTGTAACAATTTAAATTTAACAATCTATTAAAAAAATACATTTGACTATAAAAACGACTCGTACATTTAAGTGTATTAATGTTTTTTTAATTTTCTTAAAATAATGTTTCAAATACATATATTAAAAAAATTTAATTCAATACAAATGTGTGATATGAAATTAAAATTAATATATATACAGTTGCAAAACACGTATGATAGATCCCTCAATGAGAGAATGAAAAAGCTTCAATAAAATCATTTGAGCAAATGAAATGTCATATTATTTGGTAATTGATACATCATAAACTTCTTTCATTCTTGGAAAACTAAGAAACATAAACGTAATTTTGCCAACAAATATCAAAATTTTATTTACGTAATTATCCGATAAAATTAAGATATATATTTTATGATGAAATTTCAAATATTAAATCACTAACTTAAATTCAAAATTTTGTAAATTTTTTTTAATAATATGAGATTAAAAGATCTTTTGTCTCATAGGTGTGACAATCTAAACATTGATAAATTCAAATTTTCATTGATGTATTATTCAAGAAAATATGGTGAAATTAATAAGATAACAAAAAATTTAAAATTTTATCCATATTTGAGTTTACTAAAATTTGAATATGAACAAAATATGTTTGAAAATAAACCAAAGTATTCATCATATAATAATTTTTGTTTTCTTTGATATAAAGATAATTTTATTACATATTTTAGTTCATAATAAAACATCAAACACAACGAAAAATTGTTATGATCAATAATTACATCATAGTTTTTTTAATGAATACATAATAATGTGCACAAACAAATGACATCGCCAGTTGTGCAACGAACTATGTTTTTTTTTAAACCTATGTTCCTGAACATGAGTATGATTAGTGAACATAAGTTACTGTTGACAACATCAGTATTTGATCTAAGATTATATTGGAATAATGATTTGCAATTATACTTCAAAATGAATGACCAAAGTTTGCAAGAAAAATAAAATAAATCCAATCCCTCAACATTAAGGTTTTTAATCATAGAATTAGACTTTACTTCCTTTTTTCATAGCTAGCTATGAACATTTAATATCTGTTTATGTTTTCAAGATAAATAGAATTATTTTGATACATATATTATAATACATGACTCATATCTGTATAATCATGTTTGATTATACATATTGAGTTGACACTAACGTATGTCGTGAGATAGTGTATACGTATGCATGATAAAACCTTCATGGATTATCTTTAGACTAAATGGATTTATAAAGTTCAATTTGTCAATTATTTTCAACTTTTTGCCACTGGATTATCTCAAATGACTAATTTGTCCAACTCATCAACATTACAGCAGATTTGAATTAAAATAGAGATTCAAAATTCTCATTTTACATTTACTATATAATCTGTGAATATATTTGATTTAAAAATAAATCTTACATACCTGCTAGATGAATTAACATGCAACAATTTACATGATTTGTTATTTACTTTCTTATTGCAAGTCTTATCACTACACTGTTATGAATCTTGTACATTTAACTATTAATGAATTGAAAGTTATTCAAATTGTACATATTATCACTAAACTCATAGAATACTAAACTTTGATAGACAAAATATGATGTTAATTTTTTATTTTGTTTTTTTAATTGAAATCATTTGCTTCATCATATATGAAAGCTTTGTATTACATTTTATCAGTATATAAAATGAATTTTAGTTTTAGATATGTTTTTAAAAAATAATATAATTTCATCCTGAATATTATCATTTAATGATATTTCATTTGTATCTATAATCTATTAAAATAAGAAATTTAATGTCATTCATGCATTCAACAAAAGAAATTAAGTGAACAATAAAATTACAAATTTTGCAAACTTATAATGTAATATGAATTATCACGTAAAAATTTGACATTGGATTTAATACTATCATTATACAAATATAAATTCGAGTTATGTTGTTTTATCCATAATGCATGTTATGTAGATGAAATATTTTATACAGTTTTGAAATTTTGTTCACTATGTAACATTTAAAATAGAAAATATAATATTTAGACTTTAAATATATAGACATAAAAAAATATCTTATAAACAAAAAACACCAGATTCATGAAGTGAAACAGATTAATGTATTTCTCTAAATAAAATCATGACAACAATAAACATTAAATTTTAATTTATTAAGTACGTATACCATTCATCAAATAGTTTGTTTTATTAACATATATAAAAAATATATATACATTCTTTAAGTAAGAACCAGATTGTCATAATATAGCTAAATATTAATTTTGTTTAATAAACATAAATGTATTTTTTGCCATTTATAAAAATAAACATCAGAACTTTATTTTTTTAATGAAAAAATAATAATTTGTTCAACGATTTATTGGAATCTTACTTGAAATTTTGAAAGTTGTTGAGATATGTTGTACATAATATCATGTTGTTTTGCATGTATTTGTTTATTGAAAAATGAAATGGAAATTATTCAAATTTTGTATAATCACATAGATATTTTGGTAAAATTTACAAATGATTTTTGTCATCATGTCTCTTAATTTGTATACAAATAGCTTCAAAACATAATATTTCAATACGATGAGATTTACTTAGATCGCTGCATATACAATAAACTACAACATTGCTTCAATTATCAATAATTGTCACTGAAAGAAATATTTCTGATAGATTTTTTGAAAATTGATCTATACGAACAAACTGAAGACAGCACATGTTTGCTTAACACTTCATCCATCATAAGTGCAGATTTATTTATCCAAAAAACTGAAGAAAATACATCTTTCAATATTGTTATCTAAAAAGGTAGAAAAAATTGTTGAATAGTTATTTTGTTTCAACTTAAATATGCAAATTTTTTGATTTCAAAAAATTTTACATAGAAAATAATGTAATAAATTATATATATTTGAAAATTACAAATTTTGTTGCTCAACATACTAAATTTTTATAAGAAACAATACATTGTCTACGTTCAACATGGTGCGTATAGAATAAGTTGTTTGAATATTATTATCCCACTTTGGTATTTCTTAAATATTATTTTTGATGATAGTACTTTTAAAATCAATCTATGATAATTATGTATCTTATGATAAAATTTCAAAGTATTAAATTCTATAATTGAACACATATGAAATCAAATATATACATTAAACTACAATTGCATAAATTTTCACATGTGAAATTTTCTATGAATGTACATAATGGTTAAATTTAAGTATTAATATTATATTTCTTCATACAAAATTATTAGATTTGTCTCACGTTTAATTTAATATCTGACATCATTTACAAACTTAATGAAACTTATAACTTAACTGATATATATAAGCATGCAAATAATAATAATAATAATAATTTGAAATTAGTTCTATAAATAATGATTTATCAATATTTTTTAATAAATATTGTATGCAATATCTATATATTTGTATAAATAGATTGCTATTTAGCCAAACACACCATGTTGAATCCATGTACAATTATATCTGCATCATTGAGTAATGTCACTAAGTTTAAGGTTTATCCATAGATAACTTTTGATTCTTTTTACCATTCAAACTTATTTTAATTGTGATATTCAAAATATGAGAATCATTTTAATTTAATAATGATTTCAGCAAATAAAGTAATGATATGTTCGTAACTGATGCATAATAACGACTGCAGTTAACAATCATGTCTAAAATATTGTATTACAAATCTGGTCCAATGGATATTTCAATGTACTTATACTATCGAATACAGCACTTTGATACAATACTAGATTGACACAGTATACAAATTTTAATATTTTTGAAAATACTTGCAATTACAAATTCGACAGTCATGCATAATCAAATAATTTATGGAACACAAGAAAGGACTATCATTTCATGAGTAAAATGATATTCATCAAGAATTTTAAGTTTAGAAATGTAACTTATAGAGTAATATTAACCACTGATGATAGATTCTGACAACAAAAGTACTGAGAATAAACATGTGATGATATCACAATTAATCAACACAAGTTATGTGTTGAGCTGTGTGGTTTAAATGATAGTAGTGTTAAGTAAGAGACATACGAATTATGCAATTTATACGAAATAAACAGAGTTTTCTAGATAACGGAAAGTTCATTTTCTATTTATAAAATGCCAGACACATAAGCTCAATTTTCAAATATGTTGTGTTTAAACTTGTTTAGTAAGAGTAGAATTTTTCAGATAAATACTTTTTGTTGTTGTTAATTAGCTTCAAAATATAAGGATTTCCGTTAACTCCAAAATGCGTAATGATATTATGCATTGATATACAAAGACTGTAAAGAAAACCTAGATCTAGTTACACAATCATTATTAAAAGAAGACATAGTTACAGAAATTGGTGTGCTAGAACACGTAGTGATCGCATATTTTTTGTTATATATGATTATAATGTTCTTCCATTGTGACACTTGACTCAAAGCGGGATATTTTATGAGGTATCATTAATGTTACAGACAACTTTTTCATTGCATATAGATAGAGTGATAGAAATAGCAGACATATTTTCGAGAAGGTATGCATAAAGAGCAATGAAATTTAAAGATAGAGAATTTCCATGACATTCTTTCCTTCGTTGATCACGACAAATGGCCAGTTGATAGGAAAACGTCGGTGTTCGTCCAAAACTAAGAAGTGACTCATGTCAATGTCACCCACATGTAAAGAGGAAAGGGGTTGTCGGACAACCGTCAAGAAAAGCCACTCGATTATAAGACAAGAGTGATGGAGTTAGTAAGAAGTTATCGGCGCTACTCGAACTCTAGTTCAGACTTGAAGGTATTAAAAAAACTCAAGTATGTGGCAATCCACTCGAATATCTGCAGACTCACGTGATAAAATTCAAATAAATTTCCGTTTGGGCTAAGTTTGGGCTTCCACATGCGCCTTCGTTTGATGCTACAAGACATGGCCCGAAATGGACCGCCAATGGGTTCCAGTGAGGCATTCTTTCTTTCTTGGTCGCCAAGGTTGTGGCCGATGAAGGCCTCAGATCATAATCGAACGGTGATAGGAGGAGAATGTTGGTGCTGGATATTCTGACCGTGCACGAACAGACGAGATCGGCCCTAAAATCATCACTGGACAAATGAAGCAAGGGACAGAAGCGGCGACCTTTTCTTCAGTCAATCTCCGGTATCCTGTCGCCAGCCTGCCACTTCCCGGTAAGAGTTCTTGTCCTACCAACATTCAACCAATGGCAAGAGCCGGAGCCAATTAGGATCCGTTTCCTATAGTCACCGATGCAGGAACATCACCGGTTACAGCCCCCGGATGCCATAACATCTACATTAATGGACCATGCTTGATAAGGGACCCTGGGTCGCCCCAAGGTTCGAGAAAAGACATGTTTGGGTTTCGGATCAGTGTACGATCCTGAGCCTCAGGTCCCATGAAAAGAACGCCACTACCCTAAAGACAAGGACAGAAGTTCGTCCAGTCACGCAAGAGAAAGTAAGTACTTTACAATACGTAAGGTACTCCATCGCAAGAGGGAACCGTGGTTACATCTCCAACCACAGGTTGTGTTTCACGGCCAAATTCAAATTCCTCTACTGTAGAATTTGTGTGGTATAGGCCAATGGAGAGCAATTCGAAAAGGCTCCACTCCAATCTCCGGTATTTCCTCTGTCTCGGGCTCACCACGGTTAGTATCTGTAGCTATCTCATTTTACTTTACTTAGGGCCCGGTCTCTCATAGAGGTCTCTCATCCTTTGGTCTATCAGCTGAATACTGAATACTTTCAGTTGCAAATCTGCCGTAGATAGGCAATTTTTGAATCTTGGTAATTGACTGAATTTCACACTTACAGTTCTGAAGATACAAGCTGGATTGACAACATCCGTAAGATTCAAAGTGAGAAGAAATATCTTTGACAAACCAGTGGGTGAATTTGACGCTTGTAACAGTCCACTTTGGTCCTACCGTACTGGACAAATGCGAAACTTTTATGCAAGGTAAGATCTATCGATATCTTGATGCATTGAGGAGGCAGGTCGATACTGCTGCCATGTCTTTCTTCAGTATTCCAATCAGGCTGTACCATATTTAATAATTTTTTAAGATCTGCGGATGATATGGGTCTAACCTCAAGTGGCCGCAAAGAGTTTTGGAAAAAGATCAAATACATTTGTAATAATATAGGCCTGTGATAATCATAACTCTAGAAACATTCAATGGATCATGAACAAACTAGGATAATTTCGAATAACGTAGTTCTGCTGCTGAAATAGAGCAGAACATCTCTTTGTTGTTTCAACCGAGGTAATATGAAGCATACTTTGTACGTGTAAGGCAAAAAATCACACAGTACCAAATGCCAAGGCTGTTCCAATTAGTAGAACTTGCATGAGCTGCTGTCACGGTCAACCAGTCGCAGGGAAACCGAAGTTATTTTCGTAAATTATTTTTCCACATAGGCTGAATACAGCTTTCTCGCAGATGGGTGTCCCCTTCCCACTTCAAAATTCTTTGATTTCTTCGTCCGCCTGGTAGTCTCTTAAAATAATAGGCTGGAGAAATAGCGAGAAAGAAAAGAAAGAAAAGATCCGAGAAAAACCTCAAACGCGAATGAGCATACGTCAGATCGCAGCGACAACGACCTCGGTTCATCGTCCTTTCGTCGTCGGAAAGAAAAAGGCAACACGAGAGTTACTTTGACACGGGGAGCCAACAACAGGCCGCACTGAGAGCCAGGAGTAGTTGAGGTACACTATGAAAAATATATCCAACTGGGTAGACTACGACGGGCACTAGGAGCAGAGCTCACGCAGTTGCTCGCCGAAGGAGAGCCAACCATCCGATCTCGGATCCGACGGCGTCAGGCGGGCCGAGGAGTCTACCATGGTCCTGGCTGGGGCCGACCGAGTGGACGCGGGAGCCGTGAACGGGAAGGACAGTGCGCAGGGAAAAGGTTTGGGGCGTGAGGTAAGTCGATGGTCGGTCTGGCACGCGACATTCAGGCCTGAGCACCCGGTCTCATACAAGGCGAGAAAGGGAAGGCTGCAGGCCAGAGAAGGGAAGGGGACGGGAGGGGAGGGGAGGGGAGGGGGGAGGTGGTGTAAGAGGCAGACAGCCGAGCAGAACAAAGCTGAGCACTGATTGATTGATTTGCTCTCGGACTCCTTCCTCCCTCAGAGGCGAAAAGGAAAAGTCGGAGCCGATGAGGAGATGTGCTGGTATCGCTGTAGCTGCTCCGCTTTTCATTTAAAAAGATAGACGTGAGATAATCCAATTCCCAGGCGGAAGAGTGATCCCCGGCACGCAAGACGCAGGTCGCTGACAGGAAGAAAACGATATCGATTGGCGCTCGTGTGCTCTGGTAGGTTGCATGCGTTTGTGTGGCAACGACGTTTGCTGAGTTTGTGTGAATAGAGCCACATGATGATGATTTGACATGTTAGCGTTTCCGAGGCGGGGCAGCAGTTACATGCAGGCCACGGCACGAGGTCTTTCTGAACGCGACAGAGTCTGGGTTTTCAGTGGCTAGAGTTTCTTGCGCGGCCTGAGTCGTCTCCGTGTATGCGCACGTTTCTGGTGCATTGAGATGAGCAAGCGGATGTTTAGAACAGGTTTTTCTTCGAAAACGAACCCACACGAATTGCCAATTGTCACATGTGCCTGAGCGTGGCGAGTGGAGCATTTGCGGGTGTTTGGGGGTCGTTTTGAAGGTCCTTGTTTTCTGAGTAGTAGAGGCTCGAGGTTCATTTTTATTAATTCGGTCATGAATTTGCGTGCGCAGGCCGTAGAGATGTCGCTTGTACATGATTGTGGCGCGAAAGTGGGATTAGGTTTGAACACACGTGAATATCAGTGAGAAGGCAATGTGCATCTCTATCGGAGTGCAAAAGTTTGTCTTGGCAGCAGATCGTGCGGGAAGGTAGCTGACTCCGAATAGCCGTAAATGGCACATCTTAGAGATTTCGAAGACTACTTCCGACGTGCCGATTTGGACAAGGATGGCAGGATCAGCGGGCAAGAAGCGGTCGCATTTTTCCAGGGAGCCAACTTACCGCAAGTCACTTTGGCGAAGGTGTCGATAGTCTACCCCAAATCCAAAGAACAGTCCTCTAATCAGTTATAAATGCTCCCACTTTCTGTGCCGCGCATTGGGCCGCGGCTAGGCTTCTCTAATGTGCATGATGGTAGTCGTGTATTTTCTGGAAGCACGTGAGGTACTGTAGACGCCGAAGTCCTAAAACTTAAACTAAAAGTCCGATTTGAGCGCGTTGAAACGTACTGATCTCCATATGGGACTCACTTACTGTTCGTTTCATGGTCTGAGTATCGGTAAACTTCTATGGGTTGCAGATATGGCAATTTGCAGATCAAGGGCAGAGTGGATACTTAACGAAGCTTCAGTTCTACAATGCTTTGAAGCTCGTGACCGTCGCTCAGACTGGAAGGGACCTTACGTCGGATATTGTACGAGCCGCTTTGGCTGGACCCGCTGCTGCACAGATTCCCGCCCCACGAATAGTAACTCCTGTACCTTCCACCCCAAGCTATGGGGCGCCATCTGTGGCCTCTCAGGCACCAGGTTATGCATCTCAGTACCCATCTGCTGCAGCAGCACCTCAGAGTCGATGGTCTTCACAGCCCTCTGCATCACCCGTAAATGCAGCTCAAGTAACTTCTCAGGCGGTTCCCAGACCTGGTTCAGCATCAGGAGTGAGACCCGGGTTCGCTCAAGATACTTGGCCTTCTATAAAATCTTCAGGCTCCGCGGCAACTCATCTCTCTACTCCCCAAGCGCAGACGAGTGCAGCAGCCCCGGCTCAAACTTTTCAAGTGAGCGCCAATCCGTCACTACCGTCACAGGTGCCGGTAAGGAAGGATGCATTTGGTGGGTTTGGGTATGAAGCAGGTAAATTGTCAAATGGTGGCGATGCTTCTAAGATTGCTTCCAACACTGGCGGGAAACCATCTCTGTCCGATGCCTTTGGAGGTGATCCATTCGCCGCAAGTAACAAGACACTTTCAGTCTCAACTCAGAAGCCTTCTTCAGCTACGAGCACTTCCCAGGGTTTTGCGGACTTTGGCGATGGAGGATTCAGAGCAAATCCTGTCGCCACTGCTGCCCTGGTTCCAACAGATGTGGCCTCTCGGTCAGTGGGCAGGGACTCACTGCCAGTTCCTACTGCCCCCATTCCTCGGCCAGTTATGGCTGCCCCACCAGCGAGCGGTGGACAAGGATTCCCTACCCAGCCAGCACCCGTCGTGGGGATGGGCATTCCATGGCCACGCATGACAGAGTCTGATGCACAACGTTATACAAGAGTGTTCGCAGAGGTGGACACGGACAGAGATGGAAAGATTACAGGCGAGCAAGCTCGAGATCTTTTTCTCAGCTGGGGTCTTCCGAGAGGTAACTTTTACTGTCTCCCATCCGATTTGTTGCAACTAGTTCAAGGGCAGGAAGTTTCGTATCGAAGGCTATCTATCTGTCCTGCAGGTTTTGCCTCAAAAATTTTACTGTGTACGAATATTCGCGGAGCATCTGTTAAGTAGTAATAAAATCTGTGGGAAAAGTCTGACAATGGACGAGAGTTGAGAAGGACACACCAGCGCATCTGATAAATAAATAAAACAGGAGAACTATTTTAGAATGCCCTTTTGGTTCTCATGCAGGACGTTTCTTTACAAGCTTCTAGGTACTATCTATTCTCTTACCCGATTGTTGCTCTTGTCTACCCAGAGGTCTTGAAGCAGGTGTGGGACTTATCAGATCAGGATGGTGACAGTATGCTTTCTCTACGCGAGTTCTGCACTGCCCTTTACCTTATGGAGCGTTTTCGGGAAGGGAGACCTTTGCCTCCTGTTCTGCCCACAGGCTTCCATTATGACGATCGCCAACCCGAAGCCTGGTCAAATGTAGCTGCTTCACGAATAGAGCAAGCGCGCGCTACCATCTCTCAGCACTCTGCAGGCTACAATGTTCCTAGTTGGCAACAGAATCCAGGTGCTACCTGCTTGTCTTATTTTCACCCTTGACATTACCAATTTGTGAGTTTCTCATAAGATCGTAGTGTTCTGTCAATATACATAGCGGTGTTAATTTACCACTCAAATCGTGGGTCGTTTGTGTGTTTACCGTTTCGTAGTGTTAGTGGCTGATACTAGTCTGAGTGTCACAAATCTGAAGTGGAAGATGATTCAAATCTTGAGAACATGTTTTCCGCCTTACCTTAGAAAAGTGGATGTCACAATACTTTGTTTTATGGAACGCGAGAATCTTATTTGATCAGCCTTGATTCCTCTCTCAAGTGTTCATTCCTTTTGATGCAACTGTTTTATCTGTCTTGGTTATTAATTCATCTCGTCCATTTTTACTGGACTTAGGAATTCTTCAGTCCACTGGTCTAGGATCAGCTTCTGTTTCACGGCCGGGTTTACCAACTGGACTGGATCGACGTATGCCAGTGCAAGGCGCTGGTGTGGAAGCTGGGCAGCCTAACGTGTATAAATCCAAGGCTCCTGTACTCGAGTTGCATCTCGTTAACCAATTAAGCAGGGATGAGCAGGAAACTCTAAAGACAAAACACAAAGCTGCTGAAGAAGCAGATAAAAAGGTATGACGAATCTTTTAAAACAACATTCAGTACTCAATGTTCTCTGTACGTTTGACCTTGTTTAAACCTTCGTTCTTTGCGTTAGAGATTCTTGTGTTATGAAGGCAGCATAGGATGACTGTTCTCTTTTATGAGGTTGGCCTGACGCAGTCTTATGTTACTAAAAAATAATTCCTCAACGTCAGTTACTTACACGTGGATAAATCTTCCAGACGTCTTATTATGTGACTTGTGATATGTGATTTCAATCCTCTGGCTGGCATCGCAGCGTGGTTTGAAGTTAGAACTTTGGAATTTTAATTCAGCTTCGTCCTTCTTTGTAGCGTCTACGACATAAATGGTTCTGCAATTTCTTGAACGAGTTGTAGTGTATGAAAGCTATTTAAGTTTGAAGGGATGTGACTGATCATTCCCAACCGATCTATCTTAGCTGAAATATATTCATTCTGTGTTGACACCCCGGCCGTTATGACCCAGTGTACTTTGTACCATGTCGAGTTAGTGAGTCCCATGATGGAATTCGGAGGGATTACACCTTGGATGAATCAGTATATTTTGACTCAGTGACTGGTTATCCATGCAGACCTTCGAGCTGGATAAGGAAATAATGGACTACCGAGAAAAAGCGGAGTTTTATCGAATTAAGTTACAGGAAATCGTAAGTATCACTCAACAGACGAGAGGGCTAAACTGTTTTGGGAACAATGCAGTCTCATGGAATCAGTTTATGGGTTCATTTCTTGCCAGAAGGCATTCCGATCAAATAAGTTGGCCAAGCTCACTTACATGGAGCGCTTCACGTTGTTTCAGATATTGTTCAAAAGCAGATGTGACAACAAGCTTTCTGAGATCACGGAGAGAGCAGCGGCAGACAAGCGTGAGGTGTGCTGTCTTACCGTGGACTGGGCTTTATGAGTTGATTGTTCACAGTATATGCACAGAGACAATCGTGAGGACCGTAGAGAAGGATTTTCTCACTGGTTTACTACCTTTCACCATAAGCAAAAGGCAATCTTAGTCTTGCGAAACTTAATGAAGTATTGGTTTGTGATCGCCTGAGGTGGCCTGAAAATTGGTTCGTCAAATAGATGTTAGGTAGTTGCAAAGTGGAATCAAGTGCTAGATAGCTTTTTTAAGTGAAGGTTGACATTTCGATTTTCCGATTCGAGAATATGGAGGGATTTGGTCTGATGAATTAGATATCTTGTTATATGGCTGATGTATAGATGGAGGCACTAGCTAAGAAATACGATGAAAGATTCAAAGCCGCAGGTGAAGTGAACTCTCGGTTGCAAGCAGAAGAAGCCGTGTTTCGTGATATTCAGGTATAAGCCTTACATACGGATCAAGTGCTCTGGGGATGTTCACATTTTGTCCAGACAGAGATCGTTTCAGACATCTCATGTAAATGTGAGACTGATTCGACGGTTATGTGCATTATTCATGATGTAGTTACAATAATCAGTTTGTGGTATCACTGTAGGAGAGGAAGTTGGAACTTTATAATGCCATTGCCAAAATGGAACAAGGTGGTGATGCCAATGGATTGCTACAGGTATGTCACCCATGTCAATATGCAGTGGACCGCAGCTCCTTCATTTTGTTTGACATGTTATTTTCCCCAACTTTTTCTTCTTCTTATGGGTTACTGCATTGGTTTCGTCTGCTGACACAGATTAAAGCAGACCGCATAAGTATGGATCTAGACGAATTGAAGAAGGCGCTTAATGAACGAGCCAGACGTTTGGGCTTGCGTGTGAAGGAAACTGCTCCTACTGAGCAGCAATTTGGTGAGCATCCATTCCTGACCAAGTACGCGAAGAACCTATGCTCTCACATGTTTAAGGTTTGTTCTAGGTTTCAGAACCACACAAATCGCCGTTTGTCGCCATGTTTAGATGTTACAAGGATGGTATCTGGATTCTACTGACTCATATCTTTCTGGGCAGGTTGGCAAACTGGGCTTCAGGAGAATGCTGCAGAGTGGGATGAAGACTGGGATAAATTTGATGACGAAGGTACGGCGATTCTCGTCCAATTGTAGATTGATATCTGTAATGAGGTGCCTCTCCGCGTGTGGATGTTTTAGGGGACTTTTCACTTTGATGAAGTGGTCCTCACATCAGTCGTGTGCTGCATGGACTGCATAGGCTAATTCTGTAATGTGGTGCAGGATTTGTTGCTGTCCAGGACTTCATGGAAAATTCTACTGGAGCCCCACCACCAGTGTCAACACCAGTTCTGAGTTTAGGTTGGGAATCTAACAGTCCATTTGAGGGTGGGGTAGACTCCGTCTCTTCCCCGCGATCAGATCGTAAAGATGGGGACCAGTCTGAGGATTCCCCTCCACGGGCTGCGGCATCCGAGCTTGCCTCACCGCCGGCAGAGAGTGAAACTTCTGGAAGAAGCGGGCTTGATAGTCCTACCACATCGAGTTCTTTAGCTGCTGGAAGAATCAGTTTTGATAAGTCAGGATCTGCAAACAAAGCCAGCCAAAGGTTAGTGCGGCCGCGTCCTTGTATGACGGAAAAGCGTTTGGATGCTTCTTCTTGTTAAGAAACGCCACATAATAAATTGATCAGATGTTGAGCCTTAAAGTAGGTCTACGGTCTTCAGACTATGACAGGCACACACTAATGAGTAAAGCTCGATGTAGGTATGCAAATGTTGCGGAATCAAATGACTTCGGCGGAGATGTTTTCAACAATCCAACATCGTTTAGTTCAACAACGAACAGGTAAAGTTGATCATGTGAATGGCCATCGAGGGTACTCACCTTTACTTTGTCCTTTTCAGCAGGAGAGGCTGGCTTCAGAGGAGCTTAGGTTCAGGAGCTTGGTTTCTTTTTAACGTCATTTGTTTGCTCATGTTCCGAGATTTTTCATCTTACTCATATAATGGACACTTGTGAAATCGCACGTCGATTTCTCCAGACTGAGAAGTTTTGATTTTCCATGGTTTGCACCTTACCGATGGTTTGTGTTTTTCACAGCTTCGAACAAGGACCACCGTCGTTTAATTCTGTTAGTGATACTTTCGGGGATGGAGCTGCGTCTTGGTCAGCCGCATTCAGTCATGACGAGGAAGTCGACTCTGGCATGCGCGCCTCGTGGGGTTTCCAAAGCTACCCATCTAGTACTCAGGTAAGTAGATAGTAGCTATTCCAAAATGGAGTCCTTACCTACATGTTCAAGTCCATACATGTATCAACAACTGTAGTGACACACCGTTTAACTGCTTGCATTGATTACTTGTTCTCGATAATGCTACATACACACATAAATGTATTCCCATAAAAGAAACTTGTAATGTATAATTGTGTCCACATATCTAGAAGGTCTTAAGTCGTGAGCACACCCTCATCTCTTACTATACAGGCCTGGTGCAATATTCGAGTATCCCTAGAAGCGCACAGCCCTTGAGAATCTGCCTTTACACCGACGTGAAATTATTACCTGACAAGAGGCTGGTCTTTTGCAGGCATCGTTGGATGTTACTGGAAATCGTACTTCGCGTTTTGGTAGAACTTCCACAACGTCACAAGGATTTGCAGATTCCTTGGATTATGGTTCTTCAGGAGTAGCAAGTCCTGGGAGGGTCACCGACGGGCTGTCTAGCCCAGCTCAAAGCCATCGTAGTAATGGGAATTTCAATTTTCGAGATTCGGAGGATCTGGATGCGTTTGGGTCGCCTAGTGCATCTAAAGACTTTGATAGGTCACCGAGGTTCTTTGGAGGTAGTAATACAATGCGGGGAAGCTCTGTGTTCGATAGTCCGCGTGCTAAATTTGGAGCTGGAAATGAGGCTCGTTTCACCAGGTTTGATTCTTTCAGCCCACAAAACAACCCAGCGTCTTTCAGCAGTCCTCAAAACAATCCTGCGTCTTTCAGCAGTCCTCAAAACAATCCTGCGTTTCCGGGAAGTGCTTATGGTGAAGACCGTCACGAGAACAATCATTTGCATGCCGGCAATGATCGTACGTTCAACAGATTCGATTCTTTCGGAAGTGTGAAATCTGATGCTGGCCGTGGAAGGAGCGGGGTTTTCACCTCTTTCGATGAAGGAGACGATTTGTTTGCGGGTACTGGGCCATTCAATGCTGGTAATCAAGAGAAGAAGCCTTCTGATCTCGGCTGGAGCAATTTTTAGAGAAAGTTTACTGCACTCGTCTTCAGCGCCGGTGTCCTTCCATGCTACGTTATATTTGTCACCTCAGAATGTTGTGAGCAGATTTCTGTCATTTGGAGTTGAGTTGTGTTTAAACTCTGTCAATACTCGCACATGTGGGTACATTGACATGCCAGCGTTATTAGCAGTTTCTTACACTCTGAGATTAAGTCTGTAAGTTACTTGATGCCGCTACTGTCAGATTTTCCAATCTGATCTGCCCTAGCTGTGTATAGGAAACTCACTAGCTTTTACCCATTCTGATTTTGTGAATGGTCTATCCTGGGGCATGGCAGTCATCTCCGAGGTCGTACGTAGTCATTGTCTTTTGCCAGTTAAGTGTCATGATGAGTTACGTGAACTAAATAGTTCATTATTGCTTGCGAAGGAGAATGAGGTCATTTTTCCTCATACAGTGATGGATGGAATGTAGAATCGATTGTATTTTAATATATCATCATTTCAAAGCTTCGCATGATTTGTACACTATACTTTTTATTAAACTATTTGGAGAAAAAACGGCACTGAGGTTCACATCTGGTTGATATTATGTCCGTGCAACTTTGTTTTTTTACTAACATCATGTTTACTGGAGTGTCTATACGATGTTATTGGATGTCTGCACACCATTCTGATGCCTGCTTCAACGTACCGATGGAAAGCTGAAATGTTCGTCTAACTCTGCGGATGTGGAGAGGGGCCTTTAACACGCTGAAGCGGTGGAGACAACCAGCTGATAAAACCCTTAGTTTGATTGCTGAGTTGACCAGTGTACATCCTAAGGTACAACAGACGCAACTCTGCTCCTGTTTACACACACCGTAAAAAAAAACACAGAATTCGTTAAAGCTCTTTCTCCGTGATTTTTTGTCCGTGACACGCGAGATGAATTCTGGGTATTTCCACCTGGTCTCGATTGTCTACGGCGTCTGTGGAATAGTTGAGGAAGACAGAGACGATACCCAATATTGTCGAAGTATTGTGACTCCAGAGATCTACGGATTTCAGGGTTGGTGATTTCACTGAAATTACAGCACATCGTGAAATAAAAGTAATCTCACTTTGAACCAAATTTATTATTTGTAATCTCAAAAGAGATATCCTATTTTACATCTGTTGATCAATTGACAATTCCTCATGTGTGTTTGAGTTATGGAGGTGTATACTTGCTCTCACAATTAATTATAACCGTCTTTTAATGTCACACTGACATATATTTTGTTTTTTATAATATTTTATTCTATCTGAATCTTTCATGTGAATTCGATATAGTGTCTAAACATGAATTTTTTCGAACTAATATTTCATGTAAAACTATTTTAGTTTGTGCTGATATCATTGATAAAGCTTGATATCAAAAACCAAATCTTATTAAGAAGAAAGTGTGTGGAACTTTATAGTTACGTACATTTTTTGAAAATAGACTTTAGCTTATATCATCAGAACAAGTAAACTCGTATTAGAAATAATGTATTTTACCAAATAACATATTGTATTTTTTTTCCTTTGTAATCAGATAGTAATCACGTTTATTAACAGTATCGTTATGATATGATTTTTGGAAATAGAATGATATATTGATGTAGCTAATCATGTTCCTTCAAACGTAATTATAATTGGAGTCATGTGAATGTTAAATAACGAATTTTAATCGTTAAATTGAAAATTTGATTTGAAACTTGAATTGTGATAGGATTGATTATTTTTTGAAATAAAACCCATTATAATTAATTGTTATATATTCAAGAATCTTATTTTGTTGTAGCTTGGCAATAAATATGTATGGACTAAATTTTGTAGACACAGTTAATTTCTATCGAGATATTTAATATCAAGAGCAGTAAAGCTTATTTGACATTCAAAATATTTATATCATATGTATTTTGCTTCGAACTGAAACTCAAGATATACTTATTGTTGTTATTATTTTCTTACCAGATATTTTCACTTAATTTCAGATATTTACTTAGAAAACCGTACAAAATTGTGTTAACGCAAATTTTACCAAATGGATTTATATAGTGTGTTATTTACTTCAATCTGAACAGGAATATACAAACATTTATACTCTTTGTATAGAGGATCATAACAGGTGGGGTTGTTGGGTGTGATATCGGTGATTGATCAATGCATACATTGTTTGATGCGAAAAAGAAAATGAATATCAATTTCTTTCTCCATTGCCTTGGAAATTACGAAGAAACACCGCAGTACTCATGTGACCATCAACACGTATGTCTTTTGATTGCTAGAACCATTTGAGCAAAGAGGTGTGATTTCAGTCCTTTGAATTACAAGTGATCAAAATTGCTTGATGAGATGAGGTCCTCATCAACGACACAATCGAGTATTTCCCTCGTGGATTTTTTTATACAAATATCTATCTGGGACATATTTTGACGAGAAAACCTTTGAACCTATCACAGGCACGGATCCCCTCCATAACAGGCAACCCTGTCTCGAGTCCCTTACTCGCAAGTATTCACTATCCCGAATTTATCCCATATTCAGGAAAAAGTTTGAAGCGAACAGTAGCGGTTATGCCGAGAGGATTAATGTGAATACCAAAGCGTACATGTACATGCGAGCTTCGAAATTAGACGAACCCTTCTGTTGGAGCTCTGGGATCCAAATTGGAGAAATATGCCAAGCCATAGAAACATTAAAGAGTTTACAAGAATATTCCCCGAGGGTACCATCCAATAAGATTTATAGGTTGTCACGAAAAGCAGCGGAAGGTCCCACAATCTGACAGCAAAGCTAACTGCGGTCGTGGTACGTATGCAGTCAAAGGCCTTCTGTATCACTTTGTACAAAGGACTGCTCCTGTCCCGCTTTACCTCCATCTCCACTGTTATTATAAACTCATCATCACCGATCTCAGATGTTTGTCTTCGGATCAGACTACAGGCTCTGAACGAATGGAGACATGTTCCCATGAACTCCACCGCATTTCTCGATCCTTCTGTGACGTCCCATAGTTGGGAAAATTGGGCAGTTCAAGATTCGAGACACATGCTCGATGGACAAAGAGCGAAGACACATGAAGATAACAACCATAAGTCACAACGTAAACGTCACAGACATTCCATAAACGTGGACGTATGAGAAGGACCCGGCGGCCATGATCTACACCATCCAACCTTTGCGTCCAAACTTATTATTTGGTCAAACCTCTACACATTTCATCAATTCTTCATTCATCGGAAAGATTTATAAATCATAAAGAATAGAGGTAAAGTGTCTTCCGACGAGTTACAAGTGCTTTCTAAACATCGCGTTCATGAGATCCTTTGTCTGAAATATCTGCGACGCCTTGAGGTCCGATCTTATACATGCCATTCCAATCCGCTGCTGAAGTTGGCGCAGTCTACCAGTCGAAGAGTTCCGTCGTTTCCGGATCGTGTTGCAACTTCCCAGACCCAGATGCAGACGCAGTCAACAGACTAGAACCTAGATCATGGAATGGCGAAACCCGAGTCTCGTGATCGACGTGAGACAAGTACTAATCGATTTGCTTGGCAAAAGCCTACAAGTCATTCGCCGGGAACTTACTGCGCAGATGGATCGATCGACTGGAGGACACGGAACATGGAACATATACTGTAATCTGCTATTGACTTTCTTCCTCCATTTCTCACTTCAGGAGTTACCGATTAACTGTGCAGAATAAATCCAGCTTCGAGGTCCGGGGGATACTCACAACGATTCGATCCATGAGGATAGGCCCAGCTCGAGACATCAACGAAAGAGCACTCGAGTGTGCTTCGAACCTTGATCGAAATTGAAAATTGCAATCCGAATTATGCGTGGCTTGCACTTGTGGGAATACCTTTGTGGCCTAGTTAATGAGAATCACATCCAAGACAATGATGGACTTGTTGATAAATGGGTCATTGTAGATTTGTTCACGTTAAAGATACATGAACGTCCTTGTTTATGATTTAGTTGGTTTTCACTATTGATCGTTGCAGTTTAGAGACGTCATTGCAATATTGCTTCATTTATAGTTGTGGCTGACAGGCTTTTAGATCGAGACTTCATCTTCATCATGTTCAGCCTTTGTCCTCCATTCTCGTCATTGATGTACAAACTTACCGCTTTATTATCCGTCAGGCCCAAGAAGGCTTGGCACGAAGGTGTCTAATATTAATATGAATTGATACTATGTGTCTTCGTTACTGATGTCACAGGTTGTGACCGCTCTATTATCGACCCATCCAAATAGAGTGATTCACTTGGACACTTTTTGTGTACGTTAGTCAGTGCCTCATTCCCTCGTGCAATTTGGAATCATTCTGTGAAACATGATGAAGCCTCCATGATTAAAAGAGCGGAAAAGAGCAAAGAAATAAACTGGCCCAATATATATTTACAATTGATGGAAATAAGAGATTACTTTGCTCTTCAGTACATCGTTGATTTGTAAAGCAACACCTTGTCGTATTATTCTCCATGTTCCAATAAATAAGTCGACAGATTTATAATCATATCCAGAATTCAAAATTAGACATCATCCTCTAGACAAAAAGTTTGCACAATGCTCAAAGAAAACCATGTATACAACGGAAACGTTTTTTCATTTTTCACTCAACTTCACTCCTCAATGCTTGTCACCGTCAATTTAACAGTGTCGCCACCATCTATTAAATTTATCAGCCATGCCGCACTAGCTTTTGACAGAATGTGTGCCAGTCACGAAACATCTTAATAATATTTCATACTTCAGCTTGATTCATTGATGATTTATCAATCTTACATTATATGAATGCATTGTTTGATTTTTTTTTCCAAAATTAATTTGGATTGATCAATTTTCATTTCACAATTGAAAACATTTTAGTTTGCTATGAATTTTGAAAAAATTTGTTTATCAGTATAAGTGGGTTATAATCTGATTAACTAATTATTATTATTTATTAAGATCAAAATATAAATAAATCTCATAAAATAATTACATAGAGTAATATGATTCATATTTTTTAAAAACTTAATCAATGTACAAACAACCACAATGATATATCATATCAAATTGAGCCTCAATAATCTTATCAACTTTGATCTATGATCAAAATATACTTAAAATAAAATTATATTTCACTAATAATAGTGAATAGAAATCAGAACAAAAATTTGATAGCAATGTAAATAAACGAAATTTTGATCAAGATGCGCTTGAGTTACTTTTTAACATTGATTGACTCATATAGTTTAAAGGTAGTAGCTAGTTATATCTCGCTTAGGGGTTAATTAACTCTCACTCTAGTTTACGGTATTATCTGATTGGTCGAACATCTATCGTGCATCTATTTATGACACTGCATAGACCAATAAGGGAATTGCGTACAGTGCATCGACCAATAAAAAATTATGTATACTAGAATGAGGGCTAATTAGCCCTAAGTGAACGATAACTAGAAGCTCCCAATTCAAAGTTTATGATTACGTACGGAGATTGATTTAAACAGACATTAAATTGGTAGTCTCACAACTTTCGGATGTTCACTGAAATCCATAGACAACTTAGGTGTCATTGTTACTACGTCTTCTGATCATCTGGCTGTAAGTTTTTATCTGACCTAGAACTTGGAAGTGCTGTAGAAAACAAGTGCAGCATGTAGACGGAAATCTTCTAGTTAGTTCAAACCTTCTCACTCATGTTCTCATGCTGCTCGAAGAAACGAAGTCACAATGATCAATTACACGAGCCATAATTGAAAATCTTCATACTCCCATCATGTCTAGTCAACATAGAATTGAATCAGCATGTAGAATAAAGTTGAGTGTTTTGCTCCAAATTTTGTTTTATTGGTTTCTAATATTGTGAAAATATATTATTTGAAAACTAATGATTTAGATTATATAAAATTCTAGACCTTTTTATTAAATAGTCATAATAGCTTAATTTTATTGATATCATATATATATATATATATATATTCATGTTATTTATTTTCAGATTCAAAAATTAGGGTAAAAAGAATAGAGAGTTTAACGACCATATGCACGGACCGAATCTTGCGGAACAACGCCTGAAAGGTAATTCTTGAATCAAATATGATGTTGAGATGTAATATCAAAATTTTTCACTTTGTTGGAGTCTGGAGGTTGGTATGCTTGTAAGGGTATAAAAATCCAAGCAAGAAGAATATGATGTATATAAAATCGCAATAGCTGATGACAAGCATATGTTTTACTTTGTTCTTCCAGAAGGCATCCAACTCGACGAAGAATGACATAGCCGAATCCGGACGCAGTGATCCCAAGAAGTGTCGTATCAATAATTGGATGCCAAGAGTTCAGATCTAAGTGGTTCATGAACTGCATGGCCAGATGAAACGGAGTTTGACCGCTTGTGGTCATTTTGGACGTGCTTCTGACAAGGAAATACGTATTTGGAATCTGTAGCATTTCTGCTCATTCGAGATGACCTCTATCATGTTCTGTACTGTACGACACAGAAGATGAATGCAGCATTGGGATGTGAGCATTATCATCACTTGCCTCAAGGCTTCCCTTTACAGTTCGCTGCATTATCTTTCTATCCGGCTACAATACTGTTCGAGTATTAGAAAGGGAAAATGAAAGCAATGGCCGACCTTCATCAGCCTCGTTCTTTCATCGAGTTCAAGACGGCTGTAATCCAAGAGATACTGGATGGGAAGTGTCAAGAACCGACGTCTAGACTTCCTGTTGTCCGAAGTTTGATGCATTCACCAGACATTCATTCTCTCATGGCTCCAAAGATCAACGATCTGAACAGTCTGTGCAAGGAACAGGGTTGCTGGTTGATGATTTTTGGAATGTGAAGTGAATTCTTTTTTTGCTCGAGCTTGAAAGGGATGCTACGAATAAAGCTACCATATTCTCCGATCAAATCAGAACTGGTCCATACATACTGTATAATTTCGATTGAAAACACCTATCAGCTTGATCGGAATATCACCTGGATGACTGTAAGATCTACTTTACTCAAAATAACTGGAATACCAAGTTTATCGCTCATTCCTTTCACAGGCTGTTGTCTTCAGCAATGAGAGAATGTCCCGTTAATGCATTAAACTTTGGACGACAGTAGGTAGAGGTCGGATAAAGAATGATGCGTTCATGGTAATGACCTCCTCGTCGACAGATTTGACTACCATGGTACATGTACGGTGATCAATGCCGTAGTGGCGGGTCCTATCTACAATTACTGTTATTGAAAAGTTTTAGACTTCAAAGTTGAAACCACGTGAGCACATTTCAACATGCCAATGAAGGGGCTACAGTTACATTAAATCATTCTCTTCAACTGATTCAACTTATTAAGAAACTATACAACGCAGGGTAGTAGACTGTACAATCCCCATTCTCGTCGGTGATAAACTCTGTTGTTCAGAGAACTATATGTTTCCATTGTGATGCACTTGTGTCAAGGGGCTAGGCTTTGATACTTTTGGGACTTGGCGGGATTTTACCATCCATTTTGCTATTTTAGTGTATTTGTTCTAAACGATCTGCACATGAATCATATGATATCTCACGTGATTTCTCTCCTGTTTCCAGTGCTGACATGCACTATGTTTTCAAGCACGGAGACATCCGATGAAAGCGAACTACACAGTACGTTGCAGAAAACAACACAAGCCGTGGCCTGAGTTGTAGAGTTGGTGGAAAGGTACACTTGTGAGAGGTTGAACTTCATAGTTTGCATGTCTGAATGTACACGGTACATGATCTTGTACATTCAATACAACCGTATCGAGCACAGGAGTTAACTTGCAGCGAAGTGATTTTCAGATGGAGTGTTTTGTTACCTCTTTGGCGCAATCATCCGGGCATCCAGTTGATATCCCAGCACAAGCACGCATCTGCGCGGTTAACTTGTGTTAATGGGTGAGTCTTCAGAGAATCTTGTCTCCGTCTGCCTTCATGCTATTGGTCATGAATCAACAACCAGTCACGTCCCTTCGGGCACAGGAGCAAACAACTTTGCTGCGTGCTGTCCAGAGGAATATCGGTTTCTTTATCGCGATCATGATCCTGTAGAGCATGAAGAGAGAAAACGTCAGAACTGACGAAAGTGTACAGTAGTACCAATCTTCTCTTCCGTATATTGATAGATATGCTACAAATCTGTTCGGACGGATGCAGACTGAAGTCGAAGACTCAATCCGAGCCTAGTCCATGCCCGCCCTGAGCGCACATAAGCGAGTAAGACGAGTTTCATTTCCACAGTTAGCGATATGATCTCGTTCTGAATCTCGTTGACTGACGTGACGGGTCGCATTTGTCAATGCCTTCTTCAGAAAGGTCATGTTCACCAGATTCGGACGTCACTGTCGGCCCACAAGCAACTTGAGTCCGGTTTACCCGGTGTTCAAGATTCGTGTAATTGTAGATTGCTGTAGATGTTAAATATATGAGCCGATTGTGTGAAATTGAAAAGCTCAGGACCATCACTTGGAACAGAAGGTAAAGACTTCGTCATGATGATGACGAAGCAGTCGTCTCGTGAGTCATGATGTTTGATCTCGAGTCTCTCTGGACTTGTAATCTTCTCAGCGTCCAGCTGCAAACTGGATCAACATCTTCTCGAAGAGCAAAAGTGTGAAAGAATTCGCAGCTTTTATCTGTAGCTATGATAATTGTTGAGTCAGTGGCTTCTTTTCAGTCTCTGAGAGCTCTGGACCGAGCAATGGCCATTCTAATTGGGCCGGCAGCAATCTAAGTACTGACGCAGGTAAAGACTGATGCACTCATCCGTCTCGTGGTGTTGCAATGTAGTCACAGCCTTTCGACCCTGAAATCTGTCCACAGAGCTTCGATCGCCGCGACAGTCGAAAGGGGATCATCGTCGAAGTATTAAGACAGCAACAACTGAGAGGGGTGAGCAATAAATTCAAAGCTCGAAGCAGCGAGCCTCAAAACTTCGTTGAAGACTCCATGTGGATGCGACCAGAGCAAGAAGCTGAAGTTCCTTTACCTTAAAGCCGAAGCAAAAGTTCCCGTACTCATGAATCGACGCAGCTCAGCGCTGCGAAGGCCATGATCACAGGAATCGGTTCTTCATGAGCCTCGAGCTGTCCCCTCGTATTTTATTCGCCCTGCGTTGTGGGCCAAGCGCTGCGAAACTTCCGCTCTACGCAGTCAACAGCAACCAGGTTGACCTCGTGCGCCACCGAGAAGAATGAACCACGTAGTCCGCAACTGCTGCATGTAGGGATGCTCACGGCTCGGGTAACGGCTAGCCGTGGGCTAATCGGGTCACAGATAAATACTGCCACCGCTATCCGAGACCGAAGACTAACCGAAACCGCGGACCGAGTTTAACTTTTCGGCTGATTATTCCGTCCTATTCGGCCGAAATTACCCAATATATATGATTTCGGCCGAATATTTCGGTTGATTGCATTTTCGGCCGATAGCCGACGGCTAGCCGGCTACGTGACCATGCCGAGCTGCATGTAACCTGGCCATCGTGGTAGATCGACCGCCGTCGTAGATGAATGGAAGACCACAACGTCTCGAGGAAAATCAGATATAATAATATAAAATCACAAGTCTACGCGATGACATTGCGCCATGGGATCGATAAGATTCAGATTGACTTACTTAGACCAGGGGCTCTCTCTGTTGCGTATGTATCTTGGCCCGTACTTCTCCGCGAGTGAGAGGTGGGAGGGAGCCATTGGGAGGCCGATGCTCGTGGTCGTCGACAAGAGTTTGATCGGGCAACGTTCGGATTCTCAGGATCTGAAGTGTCGATTAGTAGATGCCCGCAGCCCGACATCGAATGAGGAAGATGCATTTCCCGGGCATTGAGCATGAGGACCGCTACCCTGCGGCTAGAGCAGAGGCAGATGTCCCTCGTCTGACCAAGCTTCGGAATCAGATGAGCTTGGAGCGTGTCCAGAGACTCCATGCGTGTCGAATCTGCCACGTCTGCCTGCTTCATTCTCTGCCATTTGGGCATTCATGTCATCCGATCTGAATTGCTCATCATGCTCGGACTATGGCAGGCACGCCCCAGCCATCGACTGCTCTGGCACGTTGATTCACGCGCTAAATGGGGCACGAAAAGAGTGCAGACTTCGTTGATGGGAAGCACAAGAGAACCGAATTGGCGTCGGCCTCCAGAAGCAGGCTTCAAGTCTGATTCTGAACTGCAGAGCAGAGCAGTGCAGTGCAGTGCACCGGACTGGACTGATTAAACAATGTAACGAGACACAAAACGATTCGGTGCATATGCAGATAAATGCTCTCTCAGCTGCTGCAAGATCTGTATCTCATCAGCCCACGGCCATCAATGCAGTCCACCAGTCAAGCTCCATTTCAATCAGCCAAGCGACAGCAGAAAAGTTTAATCACCTTTCCGCATCTGGCTAAGCGCTTTGCTTTTCTCTATCGAAGCATTGCTTTACGGTCGCTCCACATTCCATCCTTCCACATCTGAGCCTGTTCTCTACACGGCCTCGGCATTGTTCGCCATGTTTCCATCCGTCTCAAACGCTCGATCCTCCCTTCGCATATGTTCTAACTAATTTACTACAGCGCTAGTTAACATTCTTCGAGTTCCATGAGAGCCTCGAGCGAAGCGAGTGTGAGAATGAACGAAGCATAACCTTCTTCAGTGAGTCGATACGAGAGGCAGTCCTCAATAACTCCATGCGAGGCTGCGAGGAGCTTCAATGCACAACTGCCACAATCTGGACATGGCGCAAAGCTGGTCAGTAGTGCAAGACACCGAGAATTGAGCGTAAGCAGACAATCCATGGCCGTCCATGACAATCCATGGTCAGTCATTCTTTGCTCTTCCTCAGAGAGGATCCAGACCCCATCGCCCTCTCGTCTCTTTTCTTTTCTGTGCTTTCGCAAGAGCAGGCGGCGAGTATTCAGACACATCAACATCAACTCTGACGAGAATGAAAGCAAAAGCTCAACAATGGGCTATCAAGTACTTCCTCCTACACGGAACATTTCTCAGCATCCCATGTCCAGCTAGCTTCTTACGAGGTTTAAATCGACTACCTTGAGTATAATCATGTGGATGTTCTCGATTTCCCGTTATGAGTTACGTTTAAAGCCAATTATACATATTTCATTGAATTGTTTATTATCTATATAATAAACTAAGGATATTGATACCCGAAAGGTATAGTTCGGTAAGTTACATTGCATTCTTACATGTAAAAATTGGTGTTAATTTATCGATGTAATTCCAAAACCAGAGTGCAGTGTGGCTTATCGTTTGCATTGCCTTGTATCTTATATAATCCCACTTCATTAGTATCTTATCCATCTATTATTATCAAATCTTTTGAACAGTGATTCTCAAAATAATACAATTGTGAGCCAATCCAATCCTACTGTGACCGAAATATAAATATTCTATCGTCATAATAAACACTACACTTTCGATAGCACATGATAGATTATTCAGACCATATAATATAACTTCATTTTTAGTGGGAAAACAAGTGAGTTGCTTGGATTCGCTGTTGCATCTAGTATAAAATATATTAAGATCGAAATGAGCATACTGAATGAAATTGGGAATGAAGTATCTAGATCTCAACATAACTTAGTAAAAAGAACATCGATGCAGGATTGTAAGAAAGTAGCTCTATTGAGATACATGGCGAATGATGTAATATGCATGACAAATGTTAGTTATGGTTGTTGAAGACATTCCCTCGTAGAGGAGATTTGGATGCGCCAAGGCGTAACAGGAACAGTAACAAGCCTCTCTGGACTTTTAAGGCAGCAGACGAAAAGGGGGTCCTTTAGTTCCGTATGGTAGATGTTCAACATATCATGATCATGATGACTTTCTCTCAACGTACATCGAAACCTAGATTCTGGAGATGCATAATAGTCCCATCCTGCCCCTATGGTTCCATCCACGTACGACTCCTGGATTATTTCTTTTCCCTTTTCGCTGGAAAAGTATAATAGCCTTTTCGAGAGAGATTATTTTTTGAAATTCTTCTTGTTCTTTTCGGTTTTCCCCTCTACCCCACCGCAGCTGCACTTTCATATTTCCTATTTCTCGCGGTCTTCACAGCAGAATTTTTTGGCAAAATCTTTTATCGAGTACTCGGAGAAGTGGTTTGTGGTTTCTATGTCAGCGTAGAAGACAATCATGTCTATTTAGAACCCCATGAACAATGTTTGCAAATGGAAAAGTGATATGCACCAAAAAGTCATAAAAGTGAGGTTAATTGAAGACCCGCGTACATTTGAAATTCATTGCAATTGATTTGTCTAACCCGGCTGAGGTACAAACCACCTTGTTCAAACATCATCAATTAAATGTCACAGGAGTCTTTCATAATTTAACAAATGTTAACGGAATGGTTCAACATTTATTTCGTAATGACACTGTTCAAGAAAAAAAAGAATAGTGAGGGCTAAATTTAACAAACAAAATTTTATTTTATTCTAATAAACGTAGATTGATATAAAAGCAAGATTGTTATTATATTTTGATTAGTAAAAAAAATCAAAGCTAATGTGCCAAAATTGAGATAAATAGTGCAATCTTGCAATGTTGTATTCGAATATCAAGTTTTCATCCAAATCAATGCAATCAACAACTTTTTTATTATAACCAATTTTCAATCTAAGAACAAACTTGATGCATAAGTTTTTATCTCTGAAATTTCAAAATCCTTACAACATTTTTCAATACACTTCAAACACATGTCTATTTTTCAAGTTACATTGGCATGACATGTAATTTTGAAAGCTTGATCCATATCCTCATGATTTCCTAATTTTTTTAAATGAGGTCTCATCATTTATTGATTTATTTCACATCAAAAGATTCAATGTAGAGCAAATATATCAATTTTTAAAATATATTATCTGCATTTGATAATACATTCAAAGTTGAAAGATAAGAATAGTAATTTAATCTATAGAAATGTTCTAAAATACTTTAGATGAACAAGAGTTATGACTTTGAGTAAATATAAGCGCGTAAATCTGCGAACAATTTGGAGATCATATGCTTCGACGGTTCAAGGAGTGTCTGTTGTATTCGGAGTTGTAGAAAGACAACTTAGATCATAAGCCGTAGACTGTGTGTTGGGCTTCGTACTAAGCAGTAAATGTCATCGTCTTTCATCATGCACTAAGCATAGCTCCTTGTCTGGCAAATTCGCTCAAGGCTGTGCCGACCACAACAACTAGTGTCTTTCCTTTATGAAGTGGTGATACGTTTGTACGCTCTACGAGACTGTCATGTAGGTAACCTATGATTTTTATAGATTTGATGAGCAGCGGAAGATATTTATTAACATAGGTTTAGTTAGTTATGAGTACAGGTTATTACAATAGCATGTAGCGGAGCGGTAGGAAGTAGGATTTAAGTGATCATTCAGGATCGTGGTCTTTTTTGGTGCATCCAAGGGAATTCTACTAGAATCTGAAGCCTCGAGATTAATGTGACGTGATGAGGTGGTGCCGAAGGTGTCATTTAATGACTCTTGTTATGCTTCAAACTGATGGTCTCCAACGCTTCAAGCGGGGTTACCATTCTTAATTATTGCTCGTTTAACATGCAACGTAAGGATAAGGATGAAGTTTCAAAACTCAAAGCTTGTTTTTCTTTTTCATTTTCTTCAAAGCATAGCAAATTAATAATAATCGGAAAAGCAATATTGTGGAAGCACTGTATGTGCTAGTTACAATATCGAGCATTAAAGTTGGACGGAGACGTATCGGTTTGCAAGAGGAGGTAAAGAGGGTTGGTTGAGGCAAACATACAATGTCATTGTCATTGTCACTCACATTATATGGCCATATTGTACCTCACTAGGAATGGACTTATGGCATGTCCAGTAAATTCTCTTTTGTCACCCCAGAAGCTGCAACCTCACCTCACCCAAACCGAGTTATACTGGCCTCAACAGTCCAAACGCTGTCCTTGCTAGCAATTGGCAAAGAGCATCTGCATTCTGAGTCATGTGTGTGTGTGTCTCATAAGGCGAGACAGACCCCCAGGCCATGAACTAAACTACAGAGTATACTAAACTCCATGAGACTGAATTGAAGGACAAAAATGAAAAGATAGAACAAAGTGAGAGTGCAGAATGTTGATTGCAAGTGGAGCTGTCAGTGGAATGACAAAAAAGTAGAAGAGGTTGAGTACAGTAAAACATTGCTTTCATCTGGTAGGGTTTAGGGTTTTTCGAGTCATAGTGGACTTTATCTAGCCCAACAATACTGCACAGACGGGCGGGAAAAGGAGCAAATTTGACAGACTCGGTAGTTATCAGAGCACTTAATGGACTGGTGAGCAAAACCATGGCAATATTTCATGTGTCAGCAAAATGCAGAGATTCCACGTGGAGATTCTCTTATGACAAAGCGGCACCAACGGCGAGAAGTACAATCCTTGTCGATCGAGGCGAAGTAGCCGAATCCGAGAACGCTTTCGGATCTTGGTGTGACAATAATCAATATAGTACAGCTAGTCTTCGAAGTGTAACAGAGCCAGAGTTGCAGAGATGTACTTTGTTGCCTACTAAAAAACGTTTGCGCTCGTTTCGTTGATTGCCAGAACTCTGCAAGAAGTTGAAGATCTACTGGCTCACAAACAAACCAGTGTGGCGAATTTTGATGGTGGAAGTCTTAGGGGGTCCACTAGATTCAGCTTAGCCTTTCTGTGATCACAGGACCCGCAGACTTAACAACATGCAACCCGATTAAGGCAATTCAGTGAATCGATTTCTTCAAGTCTATAAACTTTTTGAACACACTTCACACAAAGAAACAAGAGTTTTTTGTTTTTTGGATTTTGGGATCGGGTCTTGTCAGCAGGAGTGATCGAACGACATGAGGTAGGCCACCGACTTCATCACGAGTTCATATGTAAAAGAGAAGCACGAGTGATAACTTATGTCAGACATAACAAACCAAGTCATAACTAAAACGTGCCAAAGTGAAGAGAAACAACAATATCACGACGGTTGTTTTATTTTAAGTTTTCATTCATTCCTCCTTCTCATTTCATCGAATATACTAATAATTCTATATACATATATTAAAATTATTGAGCTTATAAATCGCAAGATCAGTATACATTTACGCCATACACAACGGTGTAGCCAGATAAAAGGGAGAGGTGCGCGGCAAGGAACGAAACAGTGCAACATGTGCACACGAGGTATGCCATGCAAGGTTACAAACGTGTTGTAAAAATTGCCACGGGACTAAAGGCAATTCGAGCTAGTCCGCAGAGAAATGATCGATGCCTCTATCGTCTAGTCGAGGCCAACTCGAGTGGAGAAATTCCGCTCGACATACTCGGACGAGAGCCACAACTACTGGGGCAGAAGTTATGGCTCGTATGAGTTCCTCCGCAGGCTCGTTGGTGGAAGGAGAGGCATTAGTGAATCAATTACGCCATGAAGATGAAGATCAAGAGCCGGCTCTGTTGTTGTCCACCTGAGATGAACTCCCATCTTGCTATTAGCTGAGTAGCTCAAAAAAGATATTAAATATAGAAGAACAGAGCAAGACAAGCACCAAGAAATGATTTCTGCTCTATCTTGAAGTAGAGAAAATCGCGGGTATATAATTAGCAGGAGGAGCGCGAGCATCGTCTCCCCGAGTCTCCACAGGTCGTCGTCGCTGCGACCCGAAATAGATTCGTGCCAATGCTCGAGAGCATCTTTCATGAAACCTCCGCCAACTTGTACTCTGTCCAGCCGCGCAGCCAACTTGTCTGGTACTACGCGCGCATGGCCGATGATGACGGCGCTGGTTGAGGACCATGGACATACGACTGGCTAAGCTCTGAGTCCGAAACCCACGAGCCAGAAGCGTTCTATTTCCACCTTCCAAAAGCTGTTATCCAGGCCTGAGCTGTGTCATTCCTTCCCTGTTATCCAGGCAAGGATCAATCTTTGCCTGGCACCGTGAAATTACAATCGTTGTTGGGTTCCCATGCGCCGCGACGGACAGACAGAACGACAGCCCCTCGGAGGATGGGTCGGGCAGGCAAACCCAATTTTACCCCGTAAATGTGATGCAAGTTGTTAGAGGGCTCGGTTGAAAGCCAGCCTTGTGAACGAGCTGACCTACTACTACAGACTTGGTGCAAGGCGAGTGGATCAGAAGGATCTTCACCCGATCTGCCAGATCGGTCGCGCTGGACGAGTTGCAAGCCAGGGGCGCCCAGGCTTCAGGCTTCAAGCTTCAAGCTTCAAGCTTCAGGCTCCAGATAGCTTCTCGAGGTCGCCTTGTTTCCAGAAAGAATCGGGTGCATGGGCAGGGCAGGGCAGGGCAGTGGTCGGGGGAATGATTCTCGCTTTCCAGAGCTCGGGTTCTCAGACCGATCAGTAGCAGCGGGCGGCTGCTTTGGAGAGGGAGACAAAGGTGGCTCTCGGCCAGCATCAGCCTGCCCATCGGCGCCATGATGCCGAATCGTGTCGGCTGCTCCACGGAAGCAGAGGACTAGATCTCTAGCCGGAGGGAGGGAGAGAGAGAGAGAGAGAGAGACGTCCTTGCGCCATTCCTGATGCGGTCAAGGTTGGGGAATGGTTGGGGATGCGTGCGTGGGACGCCTTGTAACACGTCATAGCAATCGCACATAATACAGGTTAGAGGTCGTAGATTTGTCACAATTCCAGCATGAGCAGCTGACGAATCTCTGTTTGCGAGCTTGTGGAAAGACGAGGCCAGACGCGAGTAGACACCTGGTCAGAAAGTGCAGGCGTCTTTCCGTCCAATACGGGCCGGTTGATTTCGTGATGTGCATCAATTGGGTATGGTGAGTCGATTATGCGCAAACATAATCGTAATCATGAGCTCAGAGCTTTAGGGACCAGTACCGGGGGATTTTAAAAGCTCGAGTTTCTCGACGAACACCGCGAGGCTTGAGGTCGACGTCTGGCGACCCATCTCGCTATTGTACTCGGTCCATCTAGCCGGACGTGCAAGAGGGAGTAGATTCTGACTACGAACTGCAACCATGGGCGCAGGAGTGGCCCAGGGAGATTCTGAACAGAATACGATGAAGGGGCATCCGCAATTGCGGGATGATGGTGTTCCATGTTCTCACAAATTCAGCCATGGGCAAATGGAAGTTCTGGCTGCAATTTGTAACACCTTCGTTCCTTCGTTGCCTCTGGAGGCCTCTGGACTGGACCCAAATGGTGACAACTCAGAAGAGATTCTGGCCAAGTGCAGTATGGACGGGATCAGCGCCTTCTACCGACTGGATGCAGTCACAGCAGACGTTCCTGACAAGGTATTCTCCGACGTTTCGACTGAATCTCCGGAGATTTCTTACTTCATGCAAGATCGCCTCTGCTTCTGTTTCACCCGCCTCCTAGTTGGTGCAGTTGATGGCAGTTTGAGGTTAGACTTCGAAGCTCTGTTTACGTTTTCCTCGAAGTTGGAATTGTCGCTATCTTCAACCTTGATAGTACATTTTCTTTGAGCTATCGGAGTTGTTCTCGGAACTGACAGTGCAATTAGCTCACCACGTAATTTGCAAGAAGAGAAAGAGAAATTTTCATGATAGGTCATGGATGGTTGGCAATTCTGCAATCAGGCCCAGTGATGGCTCGAAAGAGCTTCCTCTTCCTTTTGTACAGCAGTCTCTCCTGTTCGTTCAAAGCATTCTCCAGCTGGTGGTCCAGCCTTCTCCTAGACATTCACGAGTGCACGAGCCCTGTATCGAGAGTGGTACGGGTCTTGGCGCTCCTTCTGTACCCGGTCATTTGTCAGTAGTGGAAGACGTACACAAATGCCGCTTTACTCCACCATTGAATTTTCCCTCTGACGTGCTGGATGGAAGAAAACTGGGCTCCTTCTGTACAGTACAATGTGAAGATCCCAGCTTGGCCTTCCGAGTGCTTCTCTTGAGATTCACTAAGGATCTTAGACCATCCCCTCGTAGACATTACATTCAACGTAGTTCCAGGAAGATGCATTTCGATATGTGCTCATACAATTGTTTGTATGTGTGAACAATTCCTTTAGTTGTGGATCTGGATTTTCGCCAGTGCGATCTGACCCTGTGACCACTGTTGTGGCTGCAATTCCATGCCACAAGCCAATCCAGTTTTGGGAGCTCAAGTGAGTTCCGACTTGCAGGTTGAGGTTGTTCAGACCTCTCTACGCCAACACGCAGGAAGCTGTAGTGGGTCTCGAAAGTCTGTAGAGATGAAGAATAGCCACTTGGTGTGAAAATGAGAAACGTGTAGCACACTGTTCAAACTTTGAAGTCGAATGTGCGGGCGGGCAAGTCGAAGATGGAGACACTAATCAGCTGTGCGATTGATGATGCGTCGATGGGTTCAGGTAGCCAGGCTCTTCGCGCAAAGGATGAAGGACTTTCCCCTGCTACTGATCGGAGCCGGATTGTGGCTGCTCTCGACTTATCTGGGAACGTTCGCGATGTGTGGACTTCTCTGTTTGAGCTCTCGCTTCCCGTTCGTCCATCGATTTCCCGATATGTCTCTCGCGAAGCGCGAGATGGTATTGCTCAAATGGGCGCACAGCCGCATTCCGAGCCTGCAGAAGATCTTCAAGCTGTGCAAAGGCTACACTTTGTTCTGCTTCTATTCCAAGGTACGGTCCACTCCATCACTCCAATCTATCATCGGGCTAACACCCAATTCGTCGTTGCCATCACATAGATTGACGCGCATTTCGCCGTCCGTCTCGCCAATCGCGATGGCAGCGTCCTGTGCATCCATCCAGTCGCATTCCATCTCTGTCTGTCTGGAGCTCCTGGTCTGTAGCTTCCTCCCTCGTTCGTTTCCCAGCAGCCATCATTTGAGGCCTTCGTGCGTGCATCGCAACGACATCGGCCATCGTTTCTGATGAATCCGTGACTTTCGCTTTCCGCGATCATCATCTGCTCGATCGACGATAGATCGAGACGAGGGACTCGTCGGGATTCGGGGGTCCGAGCGGCGGCGTGCGAGTCAAGTCTCGAGCCCCTGCACTCGACGATCCCTCGGGGGCCTTTCGCAGAACCGCATACCGTATACGACGTGGTAATGGAATGTGTGTACTGACGTGGTTGGGTCTCGGGGGCGGTACCAGGTTGGATCGGACGGATGCAATCCATGCTGGAACGCGATCGGCTACACGGGGCCAGCCGCGGAGCTGCCGCAAGGCGACGAACCGGGTCCCCGGCCGCTGGAGGGCAAAGTGGTGGACGCGGAAGCGGTCGGAGCTGAGGGCCTGCGGTCGGTTCTGGGCGCGGGAGGGTTCAGCCCGCTGGACGAGGCTGCGCTGGCGCGGCTGCGCGCGCTGGCGGCGCAGGACGAGGCGGGCAAGACGATCGTCGGCGTGCGCTGCGACGCCGTGGTGGTGGGATCGGGGTCCGGCGGAGGCGTCGCGGCCGGCGTGCTGGCCAGCGGAGGGCAGAAGGTGCTGGTTCTGGAGCAGGGACAGTACTTCGCGCGGGACGACCTCTCGCTGCTCGAGTACCCGAGCATGGCCAACATGTACGAGGGAGGCGGAGTCCTGGCGACGGATTGCGGTGCCGTGAACCTGCTGGCCGGTGCCACGGTGGGCGGCGGGTCCGCCGTGAACTGGGCCGCGGCGTTCCGGACGCCGGATCACGTCCGGCGCGAATGGGCGCAGGGGCTGGGGCTGCCGCTGTTCGCCAGCGACGACTACGATCGGGCCATGGACGCAGTTTGCGCCAAGGGCGCAGTGCACTGCAGTTGCGAGCTGGAGAGCTTTCAGAACGCCGCGCTGCGCCGGGGCTGCCAGCGGCTCGGGGTCGACGTGGCGACCATCCCGCGCAACGTGCGGGGCCAGCACGCCTGCGGCTTCTGCAACTTCGGCTGCTCCAAAGGGGAGAAGCTGGCCACGTCGGAGACCTGGCTGGTCGAGGCCACGGCCCGCGGAGCGCTCATCCTCTCCAACTGCCGAGCCCGCGCCGTCCTCCACCGCGCGACCTCGACCTCGACCTCGGCCAAAGATCGCGAAGCTGTCGGGGTGGTGGCCGCAGTCGGCGACATTCTGCTGTTCATCGAGGCGCGCGCGACCGTGGTCGCCTGCGGCAGTCTGAACACTCCGCCGCTCTTGCTGCGGAGCGGGTTTCGCAATCGCAACATCGGCCGCCATTTCCACTGCCACCCCGTGATCATGGGCTGGGGGTACTTCCCCGAGGGCACGGGTCCCCGCGGGACGGTCTACGACGGCCCGATCATGACCGCGGTTTCTAAGCACTTGGCCAACTGGGACTCGGACTCCCGGGCTTACGGGTCGCTGCTGGAGGTGCCGATCCTCCACCCGGGCAGCTTCGCGGGCATCGTCCCGTGGACCTCGGGGTCCGCCCACAAGGAGAGGATGCGCAAGTACGCGCGGACCGCGCACTTCATCGTCCTGTGCCGCGACCAAGGCGCCGGGCGGGTGATGCTGGACCGCAACGGGCAGAGCACCAAAATCCTGTACCGCGTGCAGCCGGTGGATGCGCCCAACATGCTGCAGGCGCTCGAGCTCGGGCTGCGCTCGCTCGTGGCGGCCGGCGCTGTGGAGATCGGCACGCACCACGTCGACGGCCACACGCTCGACGTTCTCTCGAGCTCTCGCGAGCAGCTCGACGATTTCATCCGCCGCGAGATGGCGCTCGCCTCCCAATCCCTGGCCCAGAAGGATCTGAGCTACCCTGTGAGCTCGGCGCACCAGATGAGCACCTGCCGCATGGGCGCAGACCCCGAGTCCAGCGTCGTCGACGCCGGCGGCGAGGCTTGGGAGGCCGCGCGCTTGTTCATCGCCGACGCCAGTGTCTTCCCCACAGCCTCGGGCGTCAACCCCATGCTCACTGTCCAATCCATCGCTTACTGCACCGCTCACTCTGCGCTGCAAAAGCTGCGATAATTTGTCAGTCAGCTCGCCAGCCGGACCCTCATCATTATCATTATCATCATCATCGGCAGCAGAAGCAGCAGTTCTGTTTGCGCTACCCTCTCTAGGTCCTCGCTGCATTATTAGCCCTGGGTTCCGCGGACCGTGTCCCTTGTCTGCTCGCTCTGCTTCGGACGATCGAGTGCGAACTCCCCACCCCTGTCTCGTATATCGAACCAATCGACGATGGCCACTCTTGCAGCACATGAAAAGCATGATCTGGCTTGGGAAACCAATAACTCACTCTCTCAGGAGGAACTCTGGGCCGATCCTGAAAATGGATCCTTGCAGCTCGTATTCTCGAAAACTTGTCACATCTGCTGCAGATCTTCAGGAATCGCGTCACACAAATCTAGTCCTTTCCACGAAATAAGTTCAGGCAATCCTCGACGGCTGACGACTGCCCTGTATCATAAAAATGAGCAGACTTATGGATCCGTAACACGGGATACTCTGAGCTACTCAAGGCGATGGAGTTTTGTGAACGGGGTTGTACCCCCATCTGAGAATGTAAAGAATAGAATGGGACACGATAATTGCCATCCCGCAACCTTGCTAGTTAGAAAATCGGAATGTGTTCATCATTCCACGGTGAATATAGGTGCTGTCACAGAAGCCTCCACTGCAACATTGGAAGACCTTGCACGTAGAATATCTGGATGTGTGGTACTATGGCCAGTGCAGGATAGTAAGTCATCTGACTTGTGTGCAGAACGGGAGCTCTTCATTTATATATGTAAAGTTGACATTCTGTCTGAACCCGAATATCGTCATCTTTCGCTTCATGCGCTTCCACTTGGTCAGAAAACACACGTCCAACCTTGCTTCTCTCCCAGTCCTAGAAGTCCATTCCGCTACTGGTATACAGAGTGGAAACTCCCAATAGAGACATATATTTTATGTCACTATTGTGAGTTGTCACTGACAAGAGGAAAGTGCCAATAACCTCCTAAGAGCAACATACATTGGTGCTAGAATGGGATGTCATTGATGGGAGGTGCATAATCTTAATATTAATTCCTAATAGTAACATACATTGGTGTTGGGGTTAGATGTCACTATTGAGAGGGTCAATTGTTTGAAAAAAAAACTCATAGATCTTTTTTATTACATTATATCAATCAATCGTTTGGTTTCGAAATCGTCTTCATTTGTACATTGTTATTGTTCCTTATAATTATGTTTAAATTTACATTTTGAATGATTTTACCAAAGCCCAAAAAGAATGAATTGTTGAACTATACTTTAAAATAAACTTATGCCACAATGTTTTTTTAAGTCTCCCAAATTACAGTTGAAATTGTCACTATTGGGAATAATGACGTTAGAATTCTGGAATCAGATAGAAAACAGCTACGATCAGACAAGTATAAAGTTGAAATTTGTGCATAGAGCAAGTAGAATAGAAGAACCCTTGAGAGTGTGGAGCTTCCATGGACATCTGAAGCACACTCTTGACATCACTCGGAGATGACAAATGCTTCAAGAAGATGCAAAATCAACACACCTCACGCTGTCATAGCGTTGTGTCTGCTGGTCTCATAGAGCTCAGCCGCTGAACACTGTCGCAGACATCCGGGACCTTGAGACAGCGATAGCAGAATCTGAGAGCGACAGCGATGTTTTCACTGGTGTAGCGTTGAGGAGGCCGAAGGTGTTTTGAAAGCAGAAGAGATGCTTCATATGATGGCGACCTGCTGGTATCATAAGGGCAGCACTATTTCTCTAAGAGCATTGAATGGTATCTGTCTTACAGGATGGATTTGGAAATGTTTGATGCGTTGTAGGACAAAATAAAGCTCCATTGCGTTTTCTACACAGAAAGCAATGACGCTCAGATGCCCATGTGGATGCAAGTAGCGCTTGCGTTAGATCGATTCCGTCATTACCGAACTAGGGAGTCTGTTTCAAAATGTATGTAGTGGGATAACGGCAGGACCAGAGTGTGCACTTACTTCTTCCCAGCGACAGAGATAAAGGAATTTCACTACTTCTTGGTAAAGGAAGTTCAGTGGCTGGACCGATTGGATGGAATTCAATTTTACAATGTATGTGCACACCTAGAAATCGAATTTATAGTTGTGTTTTGTTTTAGTGCATGGAACTTTCTTTATGCCATCACGGGCGTCCGCATGTGAATAAGGAGAAGGAATCCGATCGCAAGAGTTAATACTCCATCAACTGCCTGGTGATATGTGACCACTGATGGATGAAATTGTAATCTTCTGACTATACCGAATTGTGAAGTGTTGAGAGTTATACGTTTTAGAGGTTTCACCTCTCGATCTACATCACATATATACTCGAAAACTTCAGTGAGATTTGTAATGTGTATACGTAAATGACAGTGTGATCGTAGCATATGTGGATTGTTTCGGACATAGTCAGTGCTGTATTTTCAAAGGGTGAAATCGATTGTCATTGTGTCAAAGAAAAGTGCACTTCGGGAAGATCGATATTGATGAGCAAAACAAGCGCAGACCACTGCAACATTTCTGAGATCCAGTAATGCTCTGTATGTGGATCAAGGAAACGTGGTGGCCGTGTGGGTGAATTTTGCAGGAACAGAGTAACTGTAGAGAAAGAGCCAGAATTGCGAAGTATGTGGGCGATCTGTATTTGTCCATGTGAAAGCGAGGAACAGTAGACAACAGTACGTGTCTGTGTCGTTGACATGTATATGGGTGGTCTGTAACGCTTACATGCAATGGTGAACAGAGAAGAAAGTCAATTCTAGTCTGAACTGAATATGAATGGCATGTGGTTGTGATTTTTGTCGTGCAGGGATGCAGAGTAGCTTTCACCACTGCGTGATCAGGCAGACAAGCTTTTTCCTTGAATGAAATAGAGAACGTGTACTCCGACAAATTTGATGGAGAACATTACATGCTCGGTGAATGTGGCTACAGAGCTGCTACAGAGCATTAGCAGATGAGTTCATGCCTCGAACTCATCGAGCTTGATATTGCAGAGATCAAAGTCTGCAATATTATTGCGTGGGGAGGACACGAATTTTCAACTGAGCATTGCATGCGAGTATCGAAATCACCTCGTCATTCATTGAAAGTTGCGCACACAGTTGAACATGCTCCTCAAGTTGGTCATGGAGTGGATTATGATCTTCGTTAGTTACCGTGCCAATCAGGGAATAAGCAAGATGAGCGCTGTATCATGGCGTAACAAGACGGCCCTTATCTTGTAACTCAGAATGAGAAGAAAGGTCGGTCCCATGCTATTGCACAGACGATGAAACATAAAAGTCAGAATGTTGTTTTGTAGCGTGATTTGCTTTAGATTTTCATCTCAATCTTGTTACTATACTGACTCTCAGTTGACAGTCCCGGAACCAAATCAATACAGTTTGTAATGATACCACTCAATGGATCGATTATGTGATTTTTTTCTTCAAACCAGCTACATCTTTTCTAAGTATATTGAAGGGCTACATCTACATCTACCAGCTACATCTACCCTAAGTATATTGAAGCTGTATATTAAGTTTAGAAATGACTATTTTACCAAACTCAGAAGAGAGACTTTTTTGCTTCATTTCTGATACAATCTCTTTGGATCTTTCATCCCCTCCATTACTGCATTTTTTTTCCCGTTGTACATTCAAATTACAATAAATCATCCAAACATATTTTTATCATGATATCATATCAGTTACTTTCCCATTCATTATATTTCTATTTAAACGGATTGCAAGTTTACATTATCCATTTTTTCTCTTAGATCGATTTCATAATCCAATATTGGAATTCATTGTAAATACTTTTGGAAAAATTTCTCTTGTCTATCCAAATGAATAAAAACTATCACCTGACTACTTCCATCATTCACATATAAAATATATTAACATCATTTTTCATCATGAGTAATAAATCATTATCTATTTCATTTAGCATTTTTTAAAAGATTATTTTATGGTGAAATTTTTTTTCTTGATGAATATTATTTACTTGCAATGTCCATTTGGCATGTGTAACGAATTTTATCTGGGAACAAGAAGGTTTATAGGTGATTATTGATATTGTTACATTCGAATTTTTGAAATCCTGCTGCATCATGAAATTCATTATTTTTCATAGATAATCAATTCAATATTAAATGAGAGTTTATCAGACTTTTGTGAGCAGATTAGACATTCAATATAATTTTGAAGAACTTTTTGTTAAGCAAAACATCGATGATCATGCTTATACACTATTTTGTTATTGAATTTTAAAAGACTTTTATTCACAATGCAATCATTGCAATCGTTATTTGATATAAAAAATTAAAAAATATATTCACATTATTTGCAAATGTAAAAATCAAATTCTATTTTTTAGAACTTTATTTATGTAAGATATTTCAATCTTAGTACATTGATATTTCTTTACTTTTTCTTTGCAAAAAAAATGCGGATATATTTTTTATGCAAAAATTATAATTATTTATCTGCCATATTTTGAAAGCATTTTATATTTTACCTCAATATATCCTCATTAAGTTTTGATATTTTCACATAGTTGTCTAGTATATAATCTCTTTAGAAGGACATTAGCATTATACTATCTATAAAATGATTCTTGAATTTGAATAATCAACCATCTTCTTGCAGAATTCAAACAAAAAACTACAAACATGTATAAATCAAACACTATAACTTTAAAATAATCAGAAACACTTAATTTTAGATTCTGCAAAATCTATTTGTACATAATCATAATTATTTCTTCGATGAATTTTTTTGTTGCATTTAAAGAGATTCATAAGTTTTAAAATTTTAAATATATTTTTTAAATTTCAGTTTCATTGATAAAAAAATTACTTCAATCTTTGATTTTAAAGTGTATTTTATTGAATGTTCTTTAAAAAAATTATATCACAAAAAAATATGTAGATATTGTGCATCATAGTTTTGGGTTTGATAGTCAGATTTCATATACTCATATCAATTTTCTAGCAGTGTGTTACAATATTATAAGCAAAATTTGTATATGATAAGGTTGAGAGTATCATAACTCGTGATTTAAAAATTTAAAATATTCTTGAACTAAAAAAATTATCTCCTAAATGTTAGCCAGAACCCAAGTCGGGGATGTTGCTTGGTGCAGGTGAATTCAATGTACCAGGTTAGTCATATTAGGGTTGTTGCTCTACTCTCTATATGTGTCTCCTGTATTATTTCGCGAAAAGGGCAAACCACGTATGCTGTCGTCTCACGTGTCTGCATTCTATGTTTCGTGAATTTCCTCATCATTAAACTCCCAAAAATTCTCTTTATAATAGATTTCACATGTGAAAATTTTAAAAGAGTTTCAATCATTTTGTAAAATTGATAATAAAAAATATATTTTTCTCTTACCTATAATCGTCATTTGTTTGATGTGTATACTAACATTTGTTTAGCCATAATCAGATAAATGATCATATATTTGAGCTTTCTCAGCTCTACATATCATCTAAACTTTTGTAGATTGCAAATAAATTTGTCCGATTTTGTCAAACTACTGAAATTTTCATCCTCAATGACAAATGTTGGTAACTTTTTCACCTAAAAAAAGCGTTGGTTGTTTTTTCATCAGCCACAAGAGGTCATGCCTTTACGCCTGTTTACCCATAAGAAAATCTGAAGCGACTGTCCGTCCAGTTGTGAACCTTGGCTACCATGAGCAGCAGGATTCCTACTCGATTGACCGTCAGAAGCTCTAGATTGTAGTTATTTGTGCAATCGAACCGTTAATGTGCTTGGTCTTCCAATCATGCTTG